TAGTCGCTTGCATTTTTTTTTATTCTCCATGGCATCTTCCCATGTGTTCACATCTTGGGCATTCCATGTGCATCTGCCTTTGAAGTTGAAATGCTATTTTAACTGCCTCTTGGTGGCACAGCCTGGCTCACCATCTCATTCCCAACCCCGTGCACAGCCGTTGTCTTATTTACAGCCGTCAGGACCAGCACTTTATTGTTGTTATTGCGTGTCTCATTGCAGAGGAAAACCTAGAGATGTCGTGTTGAATGTGTTTGGGTGTATCTGAGGGTAGAATTGGGAACTTATGACTTCATGGTCTGGGAAAGGCTGTCTTTTTGTAGGTTCCTCAAGAGATTCGGGGAGGCTCCCCATTGAGAACCATGGCCTTACACACACATGGGGCTCTCATGTTGCCTGCTGAGCCGCTTCAGTTTCTTACCTCGATTACTAAAGATCAGTTTACATCCCAGCATAGTTTGAATACTAGGGCTTTGGTTTTTCAGCATATTCACTATTGTTTTTACCAGGTTTTTCTTAAAAGTTCCCTGCTATCATGTAGATGTTGAATGTTGCACACATGCCATATGCCTTGCCCTCTGCCTACCTTTGTCCCATCCGATGACTTTGAATAATCTTTAATGAAATCGACTTTTAAAAGTGAAACCTCTCTCCTAACAGTTGTAGTTCTGGTCCATGAGTATAAAAGTGAATTTTCAGCACAGAGCCTTGGGCAGCTTGTGTCCCTCTGGTCTCTCTGGTCAGAGGCCAGCACTTAGGAAAGCTTCTGTTGGAGCCTCGCTGCTAGCTGGCCTCAAATCTCCAGGGCTGATGTGTGACACTTTGGCACCTTCAACCCTTACCCTTGGGAGGGGACTCAGAGTTCATCTGATCTCATTTTCTGGGCAGTGCTGGAGTTCCTGTTTTGCATCCCACCCGAGGCGAGGTTGTTTTTTGGGCTTCTGACCGTGGTGAGCCTCTTCATCTTGAAACAGTCTTGCAGCGCCCGCAGCACCTGAGAGGAATGCAGTGTCTTGGGTCCTATCTGACCCTCGACATCAGAACCTGCACTTTAGAAACCAGAAGACCATGGGTTTGGAGGCCAAGAGCTCATCTCCGTTCACACAGCTGTGCCAGCCAGAGAGCTAGCGCTCAGAGCTGTGACACCAGCTGCTTGCGTCCAGGGCCGGGCGCTTTGGCCTGTCACCATGTCCCTGGGTGTGCGGCACATGTTGGACCACGTTGCTTTCCCCGAGGGGCACTGGACTGGAGTGTGTGCCTCATGGCTAGAAACATACTCCAGAATCCGATTTCATTCATGCTCACAGCTCTGTTGGTCCTGTGTTAGATCTGGTGAGATGCTGGCAGTGTTGTGTATAAATGAGAACGCAGATGGTTTTCTTTGAAGGAGAACTGTTTTTGTCAGGTTAATCCTGATTTCATTAAAACTTGGTAAAATGATCAGATTTTACAGATACCCATCAGGTACTGTTTGAAGTGCAGAGGGTATAGCAGCAAATGAAACAGACAAAAAAGTCCCCACTTCGTTGAGCTTTGAGAGGTCCTTATACTAAGGTTGCACGAGTGTAGCGTGACATCCCTGAGGGGGCCATGTAGATAGATACAGGACCCCTAGGGGCACCCCAGGAAGATCCTGGCTCCAGGCCCAGTGGCTGCAGTGGGTTGGGCAGAGGGGAGAAGTGAGAGATGGCAGGACCCCCGTAGGTCATGGCAGATTCTGTGTAGAGGTAGGGCAGTGACAAGCTGGTCCAGGGGGCAGAGTGAGTGTCCATTGAGTGAGAAGGTGTGGTACTCACAGGACAGAGGACGTTGAACTTCAGGGAAACAGCAGAGTCAGGCTCATTGTTGGAGAGCATCTTCTTGTTGCCCTTCTAGCCATAGCAGGAGGCGACATTTGGAACTGATCAAGTCTTTATTCTTGTGTCCATCAGGCTCATGACTGGAGCTCTGCTTGTGAGCGTGAGTCAGAGAGCATCTGAGTTGAACTGTGGAGGTCACATGGGGCAAATTAACTTAACCAAAAATAACCCCAAACACAGCATTTCTGGGAAATGCAGGGGAAGAGAGCTTTCAATGTAAACAAAGGAGCAAAGTCAAGATAAAGGCTCGGTTGGAAAAAGTGAGCATCTGGAAAACCAGGAAGAGACACTCTGGTAAAACACAGTGAGCCAAATAGATACTTCTTTTCTGCTGGTTATAATTTTAGAGTTTTCTTTCGTATGTTTACATTGTTAGCATGGCATGTGCTTCCATAGGGTAACTCCTAGGCTTTCCCCTTCTGGAAGCTGTGGCATGTGGACCTAATACCTGTTAGCTTTCCTGTCAGCCCATGAAAGAACCTTTCTGTCCCCTCAGGTGACACCTGGTCCTTACAGGGTGGACCAGACCACGAGCCTCCTGTGCTTCACACCCTGGCTGAAGTGCACCGGGCACAAAACAAAAGAATACGGTGACCAGTGTTCTGGCCCCACTCTGGAAATTCTGATTGTGTAGGGCTGGGTGACACTGTTATTGCCGGGCCCTGGAGGTTCCGCATGCATCAGGGTTGAGGACCACCCATCCAGTCCAGCTGCTGGTACTTTACAGGCTGTGCTCACTGGAAGTGTCCTGGCCGTGGTGCGTTTTTCCTCCCCACCCCTGCATCTGCATCCCAGAGGCGGAGTCAGAAGGCTGGTTTTCTTCTTGTGTCTTTAGGATGCTTTAGGGTGGGCACTGGTATATGTGCAGGACCTCATGGTTGTGCTGGCATCTGTTTGTGCCGAAGAGGTTTGTCGCTAGCAAGGTTAGCACTTCTCTGGTTGGTGGTTCTGACAGTTCAGCCTCATTCTTCAGACGAGGACTTAGATGTACTGACCAAGGTGGCCTGGGAGCATGGAGGCTCCCGTGAGTCAGGCCAGACCTGGTGGTATCTGCTGTGGTTAAGTTTATTACAAGAGTTAAAAATGTTGGGATCCCTGGGTGGCTCGGCGGTTTAGCTCCTGCCTTTGGCCCAGGGAGTGATCCTGGAGTCCCTGGATCGAGTCCCGCATCGGGTTCCCTGCATGGAGCCTGCTTCTCCCTCTGCCTGTGTCTCTGCCTCTCTCTCTATGTCTATCATCAATCAATAAATAAAATATCTTAAAAAAAATGTTAACCTCCTGAGTTCCTTCCCAAGTAATCCTTACTATTTGGAACTAAAAATCTTGCTCTTTCAGGAATTACTTCAACTATTGCTTGTGTTATCTTATTTAATAAGAAAGAAGTTCATTTCTGGAATATTCAGATCATTAGATGAAACTTTGCCAAATCTGAGGGAAATAATCCAACTTAGTTAAATTACAAATAAAAGTAACTTAAAATTTAAGCTGTCTTAATAAAATCTTGGTAATGTCCAAAAAACTGACTTTTTGGAGGAGTATTGGGTGGTTAGGATTTATTTCCTTGAGTTATGTGAACTTGCACATTTAGACTGTGCTGGCTGGCTTTTCTCGAGTGGCATCTCTCGTGTGGTGTAGGACTTGTATGTAGGTCCTGTGCTGTGTGTTGGGGGAGGCCTCCCCGCTGTGGCTTTGATGCAGCCTGAAGAAGAGAGGGCTTGTCAGGTACCCAGCAGATGCTCTTTGGCTGGAACTGACTGTTGCTGTGCTGCAGGCACAGCGGCGTCTCTGTCCTCTCCTGGTGGCTCTGTGCCTCTACCATCATGCCCCCCATCCCCCTGCCCCCTCTTGTGCCTTCCGTGGGCTGTCCTCTGCCTTCCAGGTAAGGAAGCCAACTAACGGGCTGGAAAACTGAGGGCCGGTGAGGTGTGCATCTCTCACAACTGTCTCCACATGAGGATGGAGGTCAGCAGTCCCCCTCCTCCCCCAAACCTGTCCCCTTCCTTGTGTGTGGAGTGTAGTGTTTCTCACTTCTTAAAACTCACCCCTCTCTTGATAACCTTTAAAATCCTAACTTTACCATTCTTTGAAATTTTGACGTACATTAAGTTGTGATTCTGAGGAGGTAAAACTATAGGTCACTTTCATTCTTCTGAATCCTACAAGCTCTAAATGGATGTTGGCTGTAAGCATTTCAGGTACTGATCCGTGTTGAGGGGGGAAAGTGAAAGCTCTTGCCCCTGACCCAGGCACCCCCGGGGGGCTCCTCTCTCTTCCGAGGTCCCCTGCGCTTCCCGGGTTGCTGCCCGCTGGCCTCCATCTGCGTGTTGCCGGGAGCTGCAGGAGCCGCAGGAGCCGCAGCCCCGCTCTGACTGGGCGTGCGAACCAGCTGCGCGCCGCACGGCTGCTATGTCCGGTGCCCGCAGTGCCGCAGCCGCCTGCACCCACCGGCATCTGCCACAGCTCTGTCACAGCTGTCGCGTCAGCCCTCCCTGCCTGGGTACTTTGTGCGATGAAGTCCTAGAAGTGGGATGGTAATGTCATGTTAGAACATGTACCCCGCGTGGATCCGGTCGTGCTCTCTCCCTGGCTGTTCTGTTTAGAGCATTTTATGACTTCTTTAAGATTTATAGGACAGTGTCAGGTCCAGCTATGTAATTAATTTTATAGGGGATTACACAATTTGAAGAAATAAAATCCAAGTTTTTACCTCAGAGAGAGGTATGTAGTTCGCGGAAGGCTGGCTGACACAGCTCCCACGCTGGCGAGTGGGGCCCGGGTGCAGATACCAGCTCCCACATGTGCTTACGCTCACCTGGCTGTTTTCAAGTTTCCATGATGCCTAGGAAATTGGTGATGTCTTCCTCTTTTGTGGGAAGTACTAATTGTTACACTACCGTGTAGTGTTTAAAAATTTTTATATAAACATTTTATATAAATTTTTTAATTTATATAAAAATTTTAAAGAATTTATATAAAATTTATATTTTATGTAAATTTTTATAGAAAATTTATATTTTATATAAAACTTGAAACTACCATAAACATCAGTGACTTTCTGATAACAACAAAAAATCATTTCACGTGAACCAAATGGAAGAAAATAAGATTTTTTTTTTTTTTTTTTTTTTTTTGTCCTCCCAGGTGACTCCAAGAACCGAGGCCCCCGTCAGCAGTGTGAGTAATAGTTTGGAGAATGCACTACATACGTCAGCACATTCCACAGAGGAGTCGCTGCCCAAGAGGACTGTGGGGAAACACTCCAAAGGTGAGTCTGTGCGAGGGCTCAGAGAGGAAGAGGTGCACACCAGTGGAAAGCAGATCTTTGTGATGCTATTGGGTTATATACTTTTCAGATCTTTCATCACCTATAGTCTTTTAGTAAGGTACATTGTTTCTAAATTCTGTAAGTAATACATGAGCGGGTCTTGGCTGTAAGAATCTCAAACACTGTTTGTTAAGGGGGAAAATGACAGTTGTTACACTCTTCCCTGCCTCACACCACGGCAAGTCCTAAATTCTAGAGCAGCACTGTCTTGTAGAACTTTCTATGGAGATAATGGGATGTTCTCTCTGTGCACTAATGCCGTCATCAGCCACATGTGCCTTTGATCACTTGAAACATGCCTCATGCAACCAAGGACCTGAAATTTTAGTTTATTTCCTTTCACTTGGAACTGTAATAGCTCAGTGTAGAGAGTGGCCACTATACTGCACAGCGCTGCTTTGGAGATGACAGAGGGCACATCTTAGATGATGCTGAGTCTCTTGGTTCTTGCACCATTGGACAGTGACAGAGTGGCACTTAGTGTACAGTTGGTGGGTGGAGTGGTGGTGTGGGGACTTCCCAGGAGACCAGTGCAGGTGATGTGTAGGCCTAGTGAGGGCCACGTTGATCCAGAGCCCCAGGGCACTCAAGGCCACCACCCCCTCCCTCCCTGTCCTTTGTTTCCCTTTTATTTATGTCTCAGGCCCATTGTACTTCACAGATGTTTAATAAATACTTTGTTTTTAAAATAAAGCCCCATTCTGACAATATCGCAGAGCCAGCCATGCCTGACTTAAGTCATGTGCTAGAGATATCCTGACTGCCGTACCGTGTTTATGCATATATATACGTGCTGGTACTAAAACCGTGAACCCTCATAGTGACCCTGGGAGCACCGAGCTCCTGGATGGGGCTGTTGTTTGGAAGACATGGCAAGGCCTCCCCTCCCGGGATGGATAGTTGTCACTCAGGCATAGAGACTTTTCTACCCTGAAGCTGCCCCTGCCCTTTCTCCTGATAACCGTCGTCCTGGGAGGAGTGCCTTTGGAGGAGGAGGTGTGTCCAGCATGTGACCTGTGCCCTGCACCCTCCTAAAGTGGGAGGACAGCATCCTCTTTCCCATAGTGCTTTTTCCTTGACACATAATCATCAAGACCCCTTGTTCCTATGTTTTCAATATAATTGCAAGATATAGGACTAATCTCACTCTGCTTCCCTGTCCGTGTGCTGTGGGGCAGAGAGCCCACGGACCAGCGGGCTTTAGCATCAGATATAGCAAAGCATAGTGGCCCAGGCATTATTAGCTGCCTACCACAGTCTCCACTCAGTGGTTCTAAGTAATACGTTTCTTCTGCCTAGAACTTGGCAAGCAAGTGAAGTTGGTTTTCTTAGTCACGCTTCTCGTGATGCTCTGTCAGGCCTGGGTGGTTGCTCTTGGCAAAGCCTAAAGTCACCGCGAGTGTTATTACTAGAGTTTTCTCGCTGTCTTTTCTGTATTCTACTTGTGTTTTGATTTTTCTCTGCTTCCTTGGAAGTCTTCAGCAATAAGACATCAGACTTACGTTTGTTCTGTATAAAAACTTCAGAGGGCAGTGTTGAGGACAGCCAGAAACTGGCTGTTCCCAACAGATGACAATCAAGGTGGTGGTCTGCAAAGTACATGTTGAAAGTGATAGTGTCCTCTTTTCCTCTGCTCTTTCATGTGAAGATTTTCAAGTGTGAAAGAGGTAAGGGGACTGCAGTTCCTAGCATCTGGCTTTGGGAGCGGGTAGTAGGCCTTGTCCTCAGGACCGCTGAGCAGCACAGCTGTGTTCGCTCTGAGAGAGCTCAGTTTTCCCCAAACCCACACGTCCAGACTTGTGTTACTGAGGAAACACGTATAATATACAAGGTAAGGTTGAAATTACTTTTAGTGATGCTCTCAGTGAAAGGAGTTCTGTAATTTGGTTTTCTGGGTTGGATTAGTTATCTTTCAGAATTATCCTTGTGTGAGACCAAGAATCGCAGTAAGCCTGGTAGCACAGCAGACCGCTTACCAGTGTCCAAAAACCTGCTCTCCAGTCCTCCTTGCATTCTTAAAATGGAACGATTCCAAAGAGCTTCTGTTAAATGGAGGTTATAACTAGATATTTATCATATTAGAACTTAAAACTGGGATTTTTTTTTTTTTTAACCTAAATGAATGCTTTTTGTTGTGTGCCGCTGCGGTGTTTGTGTTTCTCGTGCAGCAGCGTTATGACACAGAGTTACATCAAGGTCAAGCTCCAAAAGTCTTGTCCTTTTGGTGATGCAAAACCCACTGCAGAGAATTAGAGTAGGAATTCTGATAAGAAGCATGACAGTAAAACCCAGATTCTGGCTGCCTTTCTGGGGCTGCACGGGATTTGAAGGTACATTTGGAATTGAGGCATTTTGATCATTTTAACTTTTCTCTTGGCTCTTTTAACATTTCATTAAGACTTTAAAACACAGTTCAGGGATCTGTGGGTGGCTCAGTGGTTTAGCGCCTGCCTTTGGCCCTGGGCACGATCCTGGAGTCCCGGGATCAAGTCCCGCGTCAGGCTCCTGGCATGGAGCCTGCTTCTCCCTCCTCCTGTGTCTCTGCCTCTCTCTCTCTCTCTCTATGTCTATCATAAATAATAAATAAGTATTTAAAAAAAATAAAAAATAAAACACAGTTCAGAGAATTTTACAGTGAATACCTACCTACCTTCCAGATTCCGTAGTTCCATTTTATTTTACCTGCTTATTCTCTAACTGTCCTTCTCTGTCTGCCTCTCCATCCATGAAGACATTGCATTTTGGGGTACATTTCAAAGTAAGTTGTTCTTTTCACTTTTTTTTTTGCTGCTTTCATGCATTATTATTTTTTGAAAGCTGGTTGTTGCAGCCTTCCTCAGCCAATGATTCTCGTTTCAACCACAGAACAGAGTTGTCTAAGTGACTGTTCGTCATCCCCTAAAGAAGGAGGGACTTGGAGAGGTAAGAGTTAGGTTGGTCCATCCCGCAGTGGCATCTTTCAGATAGCAGGGCTCAGCTGTCTCTCAGTCCCCATGGAGAGAAGCTACAGGGCTTACAGTGAACGTCTGTAACTTGTCAGGCCTTACCTCGAATTACTATCAAACCACTTCCTGTGGAGCAGGAGTGTCTTGCAGTGTATTCGGTGGTGTACTGAGCCAGCACGTGCTGGCCCTCAAAGCCAGTTGTTAAAAGTGCAGGGAGATTTTCAGCCTCTCAGTGTCCTATTGATGGCTGGAAACCAGCCATGGTCGGAAGTACTTACACCGTGGAAGTCCGTACATGTCATAGATGTGGGGCTGTCCCCCAAGCCAGCTATGACACATTTTGCAAAGTGCCACTGTAGGAGCCCCCGACCTGTCCTGTCTGCTGCATGCATCTCTGTCCATCACGTGACACATGCTGTGTGCCCGCAGCCCAGCTCCAGGAAGAGCAGGTGGTTCTGTGTGACCTGGGACTCCCTGCATCCTGACTTCAGCATCCTCCTCTCTGAAGCTGTTGTGAGGGGTCACGACAGACCTATCTGCTCTTAATCTTCCCTTGGCATATCTGACCCTCCACCACCATTCTGTCCTCCCTTGGTTCCTTTCTGTTTTTATCTATTTTATTTATTTTTTATTTTTCCTTTCTGTTCTTAAACTTTGGACCATCCTACATAGAGAAGTGTTGCTGTGGCTTGTTCCCTTGGTTTCCTGGTAACACACTTCCCAGTTCTCCTCTTGCCTCTCTGTCTGCTCGTATCCTATGAAATCCCTGCCCCTGAGATGCTAGTTCTGTCTGCACTCCTCTCTGGCATCTACTCCCACTTTGAGTGTCTTCTCTTCATCTGTTGATGACTTTCATATCTGAGAATTCAGCTGAGACCCTTGCCTGGGACCCAAAATCCCTGTGAATATTTCCACTGAGGTGGCCTGCTGGTGCTTCTGCCCGTGTGCCCAGAGTGGACCCATCACTTCTATGGCCGCCCTTGAAATGAGTCTCCAGTGTTTGTGGTTGGTGCCAGCCTTCAGGCATTTGGAGCCACGCCTGCAGGTCCACATGAGCAGGCTCAGCCTCACAGCCCTGGGGGCTGTGGCTCTGCGGGGTCGTCCCAGATTCTTCTTCCCCTCACTGAGGCCACCATCCTGGATCAGGCTTCGGTCCCCCTGCTGTCTGTGGATTCTTCTGTACAGTCCATCCCCAAGCAGGGACCTACCTGCAGCTGGACCACAGTAACCTTTACTTAGGAAGCTTGTCATGGTGCTCATGGCTGCAGCTGCTGTCACAGCACTGATCAGCCCCAGGTCCACCCTGACAGTGTGTGTGCACCTCATTGATGTCACAGTCCCGTGAAGTGGGAACCTGTATTCCTCTTTTTCAGGGGTTCAGTGACTGCCCATGGTCACCAAGCTGAAAAGTGTCACATTTCAGACTGAGCCCATCTGAAAGCAGAGCCCATGGGCTTACCTTGACTTGCTTGGAGGAAGCCTGCTGTGGGGTTTGTGGGATTTGTGGGCCAGCCTCATCTATGCCCTCCCCTCCTTGTGACTTGTCCTCATGTCGCTACTCTGGTCTCTCACAATTCTGAGTTCCTGGCTCCAGCTGAGAGCATACTTGTTAGACACTGTGTGCTGTCCTGCCTGGGCCTCGATCCTCACATCCCTCTGCCCAGATGGGCTTTTCGCTTTGAAGTTGAGCTCACATGTCACAGCTCTGTGAACTTTGTAAATTTTGTGTCACTTATGGTTAGTCTGTAACTTACGGTTATATTGGTACATACCAATGCTGAATAAAATGCTTGCCTTAATATATAAATAAATGAGAATCCTTAGGCTCTTAGATTCTAGTGCTGTATCATTAACCATTCAAAAGGAATGTGTATATGTTCATTTCCTGTTTTTGCTACTTGAGAAATACCTTTTACCAGCTTTATGTTTTCTAGATCATGCCATGTACTACTCTTGTTTCTATTTCTATTTCTGTAGAACTAACAAATTAATGCAAGGTAGCTAGATGCTAAAAAAAAAAAATCAAAGAAAAACAAATTAGGGAATTCTTAAATATAATATGTTCTATCCTAGAAAGTTGTCAGAGAGGAAGCTCAGGTTAATCATTGTAGTTGTGAATGCTCAGATTTTAACAACAGCTGAAGAACTGCTCCTAAAAATGATCCCCACTAATGTGAACGACCAAGAGAAAGGGAGAAAGTGAGTCAATATTTGAGGAACGTTATTATTCAGCTGAGACTTTTAAGATACACTTTTTTCAATTTGTAAGTGAAAGCTAGATTTCAGTAATAAAAATTTAAGCAGGAAACATCTTAAATGTTATTCTGCTTCGGTTTCTTGAAGTAGGAAGCATTGAGTTGTATTGTACAGGACTCGGGAAAAGGAAGTGTTCATGCCAGAGGATGATCTTGCGTCCTTTCCCAAAGTCATAAATGATTCCCTCCTGACTGTGATGGCTTGTAGCATAGTTCTAAGTTTTGAAGCAGTCTCCTATGTGGGGCACATAGAAATTAAACTATTTGACTGGAGAGATGTCGAAATCAAGTAAAAGTTCTGAGGCAGAAAAGTACCAACTACCTGTTTTTTTCCCAGAAGAGTTTAGAATAGAAAGGGAAGAAGTTTCAAAGGAGTGACTCATTTGTGGAACACACTAAGCTGTTTTCTACAGGTGTCTGATACATAAGTATGACATGACAGTCCACTCTTGTGAGTCACTTGAAGATGCATGGCAGTGAAGATGACTTTAGAGTGTGGCAGCTCCCAGGACTTGATGGTGAGAATGTGTTCATGGGTTTGTCGCTGCTGGCTGAGAGGCCTTTGGGTTCAGCTCAGTCCTAAACTGTCTATGACTTTTTGCTAGCCCCTCCCCCCTTCGGATGTCCAGTCCTGCTTCAGGATGTTTGGAACCCCTGCCTGTGCTGCTAGAGCAATGCCTTCCACAGGAATTCCTTCCTGCCTTTTCCAATTACATTCGTGTATTAGCTTTTGAAATTAGGTATGGATCCAATTATAAAAGTGATAGTTCAGTGCAATTAGATGTTTTATTGAAGGCCATGTGGTCTGACTTGCAGGACTGGAGGCAGATTCCTCATGTGCGTCTTGAATGAGAAAAGGAAAGTTACAATTTTAAAAGGATAACACATCCCACTTTTGCTTTCTCAGCTCAGCATGAGTGAGCAGGCTGGCTTAGACTCAGGTGCCCATTTCTCCCCACATAGGAGCCCTCCCTACCCGGTCTACCTTCCGACTACCCCTCTGGCTGTGGCCTTTTTGTCTTGGAGTCTTTGTGGGCAGTGCAAATCCCATCCCTTCATGGTGGATTGATTTCTAGCCCCTCAGACTTAGCTGTGTTTGTTTGCACTCTTCAGAAAATTGTGAGGCTTCTATATACCAGATAATTGCCTGCAGGACTGACTGGGGTGGTATATGGGACAGGGGTCACTGTATGAACCAGGAGAGAAGTGGATCATAAATAGAAGTTCGTGTGCATATAGGAACGAATACTCTTTAAACTCATGAAACTACGTTATGGAAATTTGGGGGAAAGTGCTCATAATTCCACCAGCAAGCACAATGATCCTTGTCAGTTTTGATAACTTTTCATCTTTCTTTCCTATTCTTAACAACTAGGGGCAGCCCCGGTGGCTCAGCGGTTTAGTGCTTCCTTCAGCCCGGGGCATGATCCTGGAGACCTGGGATCGAGTCCCATGTCGGGCTCCCTGCATGGAGCCTGTTTCTCCCTCTGCCTGTGTCTCTGCCTCTCTCTCTCTCTCTCTCTGTGTCTCTCATGAATGAATAAATTAATTAATTAAAAAAAACCCAACTATACAGTTTGTAATTTTTTAGTTAATATTACAAGCCGTTTTCATGTTTTTGTTTTTCTAATCATGGTCTTTAACCTAAGTTCCAAAATCAAGAACATGTTTCACCATCGTTGAAGCCTTATTAAAGGTCCCACAGGGCAGCCCCGGTGGCACAGCGGTTTAGCGCCGCCTGCAGCCTGGGTTGTGATCCTGGAGACCCGGGATCAAGTCCCACGTCCGGCTTCCTGTATGGGGCCCGTTTCTCCCTCTGCCTGTGTCTCTACCTCTGTATGTGTGTGTGTCTCTACGCATAAATAAACAAAATCTTAAAAAAAAAAAAAGGTCCCACAGCCCCACTCCATGTCAGCCACTGTTGCCCCCACACCCACTTCAGGGGGCCCCCTGTGACCACAGGTGCTCCACGGGGACAGTACCACTACAGGCAAAGTAGCAGAGTCGTCCCTAGGTGCTGGTGCCCAAGCTGTCCACGCTGCCCACAGGTGGGGTGGTGGCATCGTTTGCTCCTAGACAGGCATCTCAGACTGCAGCCCTAGACTTCTAGATGCCTGTTACTTGCAAACAGCTGGATAATGTTCGTCTGCTTTTCATATTCTCCTGTCCAAGGATGAGTCACTTCCGTTATCAGTCCAGATGGGGTTTTCTCTCTACTTTTTTTTGTAAATTCTAATATTACTCAGTCCTGGAACATTTAGGTGCACGTTGCTGTTCTGTGGCCAGGGAAAATGCTGACTACATTTTTCTGTGTTCATTGACTTCGTATGTTCTATTGTTTAAGAAAGGGGAAGATGTCATTGTGGGTCAGTTTTAAAAAATACTGATTGGGAAAACATAAAAGCTATTTGTTTGCTGACAGTTTGACAGAGGAAGCCAGGCAGGAACAGCGAGCGGCTTCACTTAGTGAAAATAGGGAGGTGTGCAGCCTCAAAATGTGGTGTGTCCTTTGTTTTGCCAGAAAGGAAACACTTGACTGTTTTGTTTTGTTTTGTTTTTAGTAATTCCTTCCTGTAAGATGCTATTTTAAGCTTAAAATACTTCAAACCAAATAGGTTCTCGTATCTCTCAAGATGCACATCGACCCTGATGCCACTTTACAAAATTAGGGAGGCCTAGGAGAGAACAGTTTAACGAGTGAAGGGTCTTTTCCGCCACAGTCAGTGACCTCTGAGAGTGTGAGGACCCATTTGTCATATTTGTTGCTCTGTTCCCAGCGCCTAGAATTTGACCTTGCGCCCAGCAGGAATCTGATAGGACGTGTTGGTGGGTGAACAATTGTTGGTTTTACAAGGATCACACATTTTTTCTGCACAGATTCAGATAGTAAATATTTTTGGCTTTGGGAGGCATAGGGTTTCTGGCAAGACGACTGGGCTCTGCTGCCTTGGGGTGGAAAGCAGCCATCGACGATATGTAAACAAATGGCATGGCTATGTGCCAACAAAGCCATGTACACAAACAGGCGGAGGGCAGCCTCTAGTTTGCCAGGCCCACTTAGGATTGTACTGTCCAGTAGAATTCTGTGATGAGCAAGTGTTCTGTGTCTGTGCTGTACAGCATGGCAGCTACTAGCCACATCTGGCTGTTGAGCACTTAGAATGAGATTAGTGCAACCAAAGAATTGGATTTTTAATTCTGTTTGGTTGTAATTAATACAAATTTAAGTAGTCACATGTGGTTAGTGGCTACAGTCTTGGGTGTTGCAGGGTTAGAACCTTCCCTGAAGCATGTTGCACAGAGCGATTTGTTCTCTGGAGGTCTGTACACAGTACGGGAAGAAAGTTCTGTGGCTCAAAAAACTGAGGAATTGTTAATAAGAACATATTTGTTCATTTCAGGACTGCTTAGAGCCCTTAATGTGCTAATGTACACAGACAGCCTACCAGTCTTAGTTTTTTTTTTTTTTTCCTGAGCTGTTTGACCATGAAGCTTTCTGCAGGTGCCCTTGAACACCTAGGGCACTGGCGTTCTTGGAGAAGACCTTGGGAGGCTCCTTTGAGGCAGGCCAGAATGCTGGGCATCCGCAGGGCTTGGAGCTTAATAGTTTCTGAGGTTATGTTAAGTGCTTCCTACTGGACAGTTAGGTTTTCAGGGTCTGGAAGTCCCCGTAGTCCATGGCCAAGGGCTGTCTGGGACAGTGAATGCTAGCATGGAGGAGGACGTGTGTAATATGCACGTATTAAAGCTCCTTGCTGGTCGTGGACTTTCTTAGCCACAAAGAGGAGTTACTAGACTGCTGGTGTCTGCAAACAGCACAGATGCTTCAGAAATCAGTTATGTTAGTGCTTGGGAAACATTCACATATGAATCGGAAATAGAACGCACACACCTCAGTGTGGCCTGGGAACTGCATCACGTTTGTAAGTGGCTATTTTATCTTTGACATAATGTTTGCTCAGATATTTGGATTTTCAAACTCAAGTTTGAGTGCATAAGAACTTCATTGTGCCCTTTTAGTTTTGAGGAGACAGAGGAGGTACCCATGTCAGGAGGAGGGCGGAGCGAGCCTGCTGCATGCAGAGGCCTCCGGCGGAGCTTTGTCTCCTCTGGCTGTGCTGCTGTGGCCTCTGACAGCCCGTCATGTCCTTCAGAGGCGGTGCTGGAAGGCTTTGGTGCTGCTTCCGTCACCTGCCGTGAGCGCCACCACTGGCTGGCCGCTGGTGTCTGGCACCGTCAGCCCAGAATGTGGAGCACTAGTTTCTCAGGAGCCAGAACAGATCCTGCCCGCTCTGCGATAATAACCAGGTCTGTGCCCTTGTGCATCCACATCACTCCTGTTCTTTTTCCAAGTGCCGTTTCTTCCTCTTCTAGGATTTGTTTTTATGTTTGGCCTATTCTGTTCTACTTTTGCATTCGCCTCCACTCCTGAGTGTGACAGATTTCTGCGTTCCTCTCCGGCCCCTCTTCCCAGGCGAGCACACTGCAAAAGAGTCAGCCACGCCAGCGTCGAAAGCTTTGTTTTGAAAATTGCTAAAATATCAAATGCTAACTAATATGTACTTCAAGGTTTTATTTCATTTTTATAATTTTGTTTGTTGTTGTTGTTGTTTTTTGCTTTTACAGTGAGTGTTGAAAAGATAGACCTGAAGGGATTATCACACAAAAAAAATGAAAGACATGTTGAATGTTCCTTTGAGGTAAGATGCCAAGTTTTTTCTCCCTTTTCTCCTCTGTGGGGTAGGAAGGAAACATTTGCCTTGAGTAGATACTGAGATTGATCTAAATGGAAGATGGGCCATGGGCCGGCCACCTCCAGCCTATGTGCCGACTGTTGTCTAGACTGGTGTGCTCAGCTGCGGCTGGTTGGTCACCAGAGTTGGCTGAAATGAAGACGTGTGCTGCTCAGAGTGTCCCAGCAGCTGTGTTCCATGAGGTCCTTGGGGGCCTAGGTGACCCCTAGTTGACCACTTTGATATCCCTGGGGTGCGGCTCTCGGCCTCATGGTCCAGGTTGGCAGCCAGGGCACTAGTCCTCGCGTTTTCATTCCAGGTAGCAAGACACAGGATGAAGACAAGAGAAAAGTTTACTTCTCTCTCTCTCTCTCTTTTTTTTTTTTTTACTTTTCTCTTTTTTTAAGGAACATTCTGAAAGCAGCCGCTAGATACTTCCACATATGTTTTGCTGGCCAAAATTTGGTTTCTTGGCCCCACTTGGCTCCGGAGGAGGCTGGGGAATGTATTCTGGCTGGCCATGTCTCCAGGGTCCTGTTACTTGCTCATTATGTTGTGTGAGGTTCTCCTTTGACCATGTGCCTGAACACTGATTGACAAGGAAAATCTGCTTCCTGCATTACTAGGGAGTATTCTCAGGAATAGAAGCCTCTGGTTTGTATCTAGTATGTATGCTGTGATGCTCTGTGTGGTTCACTAAGTTTTCAAAGTGTAGCTGCATCCAGAGACTTAAATAGTTTTATCACTAAAAGGATGAAATCTTCATTTGATTCAGGAGGTGTACAGCATTGTGAGAATCCCTCAATAAGCTATGCGTGTGTCTTCAGAACATACAGGAAAGACTCACCTAAAGTTTTCAGGCTCTTTAAACTTGGAACGAGCACTCAGGTCTCAGTTACTGGAGAACCTTGGAGTCACAAAATCTTCAGGGCCTCATAAGGATGGGAGCCTAGCAGGTCCCTGGAATCCTGAGCGTGTTGTTTCTCCCTCCAGCATGCTCTGTCTCGTGGCTGGACCTCCCCTCAGGCTCATCTGCCTCCACTGGGCTGAGCCATCCTCAGGTGGTGGGCCCCACTCACTGTCTGGTTGTGCTGAGCCTTGATCCACCCTTATCTGCGGGCTTGTACAGTGTGAGATATGGTGACTCTGGCCAGTGTGACTGCCTGCAGCTTCTCTCTGAAGAAATGAGCTTTAGCAAAATAGATATGTGGCCTCTCGGAGGAGATGGAAGTTATGGTCAGGAGTCAGGAGGTAGGGATCCCTAGGTGGCGCAGCGGTTTGGCGCCTGTCTTTGGCCCAGGGCGCGATCCTGGAGATCCGGGATCGAATCCCACGTCGGGCTCCCAGTGCATGGAGCCTGCTTCTCCCTCTGCCTCTGTCTCTGCCACTCTCACTCTCTCTGTGACTATCATAAATAAATAAATTAAAAAAAAAAAAAGGAGTCAGGAGGTAACTGGCTGGTGATGACAGGGACACGGTGTCCGGGGTCCTCTGCAAGCAAGCCACACAACTCCAGAAGGGTCCTGGAGCTCTGAGCTTGCGGCCCTAGACTCCAAAGTGTCACTTGGTGTTGACAGTGTCACACGGGTGAGGTATGTAGTTGAAGACATTTGTACCCCAGTGGGTGAGCTGAAGGTTTTAACAGTTAATGCAAAAGCTTCACTTATCTGGGGATCTTACTTTTCCTGAAGTGATAAGTGACAAAAATATTCTTGTGTTTAGGAAATTGAGAATCCATCTCTCACCTGGAAGTCCAAAGTAGTTTTTTCCTTTTGGAGTACTAACTTTTCTTTTTTAAGATTTTATTTATTTATTTGAGAGAATGGGTGAATAGTGGGAGGGACAGAGGGAGAGAGAGATCCCTCTCATGTGGATTCAGCACGGAGCCCAATCCCTGAGATCTTGAACTGGGCCAAAATCAAGAGTCAGATGCTTAACCGACGGAGCCATCCGGGTGACCCTTGGGGTACTAACTTGATAATGGCCTGAGGGAACCACAGCCCAAACTGTGTGTGTTGAATGGTTACTCGAGGCATAAAGGAAAGATATGATCAACGTTAAAAAGAAATCTTACTTTTGTTACTGCAAAACACTGTTCATTTGCGCCGCTTAAACTGCATGCTTGTTTTATGCGGGGCTTGCATAGGTTGCTGCTGATGGCTGTCGTTACTGTGTCAGGTTGGGGACTTCTGTCACCGAGGAAAGGAGGCGGTCTCAAGGCCATGTGCCTGAGGGCAGGTGAGCACAAGGGCTCCAGCTAGCTGCTACCAGCGCCACACTCCAATGACAGAACTGAGGGTGGGCAGCCTGAGGATAGCAGCGAGCCCACCTAAACTTACCCACCTTCTGGCATCTGAGGGGACTCCTCTCAAAAATAAGCCCCAGTAGGATTTTTCTGCCTTAGAAATCAACAAACTAGCCCTAAAATGTGTGTGGAAAGAACAGAGTAGTCAAAATAATTATGAGAAGAAGGAAGTTGGAAGCTGCACGCAGCCTGTCTTGGAGACTCGCTGTTAACCTATGGGGAACGCTGGTCCGTGGGATTGCCGTGAGCATGGGGCACCTTTCAGCAGGCCAGCAGAGTCTAGAGATCGACTTGCAGGTAGACAGCCAATTGACAGGCGGGCAGTTCAATGAAGAAAGGATGGTCTTTTCAACAAATGGCTCCAGAACCCTTGACCAAACGTCACCTCTCATAGTTAGTTAACTCAAAACTGATCATAGTCCTAGGGGACCCTGCCTGGGTGGCTCAGCGGTTAAGCTTCTGCCTTCGGCCCAGGGCGTGATCCTGGAGTCCTGGGATCGAGTCCTGCATTGGACTCCCTGCATGGAGCCTGCTTCTCCCCTCTGCCTGTATCTCTGCCTTTCTCTCTCAGTCTTTGTCTCTCATGAATAAATAAATACAATCTTTTTTAAAAAAAAACAAACTGATCATAGTCCTAAACGTACAACCTAAAACGACAAAAGTGCTTGAAGAAAGCATATGAGACTGTATGGCTAGGCAAAGACTTCTTTGCTGCACCACAAAGAACATGATCTTTAAAAGAAAAAGTGAGTATGTGAGACGTAATCAGAGGGTTGAACTTCTCCTTGAAAGCACCCTGAGGAGATGGGAGGACAGGATGCAGATTAGGAAATGCATATTTGATAAACAGTTTTCATTCAAAATATACAAAAACTCTCAACACTCAGCAATAAAAAAAAAAAAAAAAACATTAAGAAGCGAGCCCAAGATTTGAAACACTTTAGCAGAGAAAACAGTTAAGAGGGCCAATATCCCACGTGAGCAGATGTTTGGCCTCACTAGTCGTTAGGAGAATGGCAGGTAGAGCCACAGGGAAGTGGTGCTGTGTGGCCACAGGATGGCTGCACCCGGAGACCCTGAGCAGGCCAGCTGCTGGCAAGGGTGCGCGCACATGGTGTGTGTATGTTCAGAGCTACAGCCTCTTTGCAAGGCCGTCTGGCAGTTTTACAAAAGCTTAAACTTTTCTCTAAAGTATGACCCATCAGTTCTCTCCCACGTATTAATCCATGGGAAATGAAAACATTTGTTCACACAAATATAAATATTTACGTGAACGCTCAAAATTTATGAAAGAAATATATGGCTTATATGTACCACAACCTCTAAATGTCCAGAGGAGAATGGAGAGACCCACATGGTACCTTAAACACCGTGGGACACCTGCCAGAGTGGAAAGGACTGAGCTGTTCTTATACTAGCATGTGGAGAAAATTCAAGTCCTTGAGTTTAGAAAAAAAACCTCTGCCAAAGAGTAGATATGATATGAGCCTGTTTACGTGAAATTGTAAGAAATGCCAACTGTCTACAGTGACAGAAGCCACAGAGTGGCTTCTTGGGGAGAGGAGGAAGAAACTCTTGGGAGTGGTATAGTATCCTGAACATGCACATATGCCCAGACTTCTCACATCATGCCCTTTATATAGGCACAGCTTACCGCCCATTACAACTCAGTAAAGCTTTTATTTTTTTATTTTTTTATTTATTTATGATAGTCACAGAGAGAGAGAGAGAGAGAGGGGCAGAGACATAGGCAGAGGGAGAAGCAGGCTCCATGCACCGGGAGCCCAACGTGGGATTCGATCCCAGGTCTCCAGGATCGCGCCCTGGGCCAAAGGCAGGCACCAAACTGCTGCGCCACCCAGGAATCCCCTCAGTAAAGCTTTTTTTAAAAAAAAAAAAAGAAAAGGAAAGTCATCTGAGGATTAAGCCTCTCCTTTTGTCCACAGAACTCTAAAAAATGAAGCTTAAATTAATTGCCCTTTAAGTAAGGGGTCTTTTTTATGTGGAAGTTAACAGCTACCCATCAGGGACCAGAGCTGTCAAACTGCTTCCTGGGATTTGATGGGACGGCCATGCTGGCCACAGAGAAGGCTCTCTCCTGCCAGCCTCCCTGGCTCCGGAGGATCTGTGGACTCTGCCCACTGTTTCCTCAGTCCTGTTTGTCTCTAGCTTCACTCTTTGTGGATCGGTATTTTCCAGGATACAAATGAAAGGCTTCTTTTATAGGAAGGCCTATGTAGCTGGATTGAGATGCTTTCAGTATGTAAACATGTACTGCAAATAGGAGCCTGCACTTCCTGTTCTTTTCCATGGGGCTGATCATGTTTTTGCTGGAGTCATGGGTGCTCCTCACTGGCTACCGAGGGGATCAGATTGGTGTGCAGGAAGCAAGCGACTGCAAATTTAACATCAGCATGTAACTACATACACACGAAGTGTCTGGATTTTACTTGTTTTTCCAGACTCACTGTTGAGAAACTGCAATAACTAAAAAACTTTTTTTTAACAAAAAGATTTTTTTTTTTTTTGTTAAAAGTGAAGGATAGAGAAAATAGCAGAAGATGACCCGAACCCTTGAAGCACCCCCTAGACTGTAGAATTTTAGTGGCTTAGAAAGAGCTGTGGCTCTTTCTTAACCCAGGTATTACATTTACTTTAGTGCTAAATCTTTTCCTTGAAAGTTTTATTTTTACATTTCAAGATAATCTGAACTGCTTTGAATATGTTATTGCCGTTAGCAAGGAGGAGTCTTGACAACTTTTTTTTTTTTTAGTTTTTTTCATCAGTGATTTGTGCAGACTTTAGAGCCCAGTAATTCTGTGAACATGCCAGGAGCAGTGGGGAACGGTTTGTTTTGACGTCTGTCTCAGTGGTTCTGTGGCATTAGTGCAACAGCATGATGGGTGCTGATCCAGGAGCCACATAGGGCATGCTGAGGGCTTTCCCTAGGGTCGTCTCTTTTTGTTTGCTGGTGTGTTTTTGCTTAGGGAAAGTGCTTCGAAATGATTTCACCCTGAAAGTCCTGTGATTTCCTGAAAGTCCCCCCATTGTGCTCAGACATGCCCAGCACTGTTTGTTCCATCCAGAGCTGTGGTTCTGCGCCCACGTGGACCTGATGGCCCTTGATGGGCCAAGCTCTCTCCGTTTATTCCCGCGTGCCCGGGGCCCCCTCCCTCCTTGCAGGCGCTACCTCCTGTTCTTATGTCCTTCTCTGTCTGATAACTTCTTAGAAAGGGCACCCGGGAGGTGTCTGGAAATGCCCCCCCTACCCCCCAACATGTGACTGAGAACACAGGTGGAGGCTGGGCATCACTCTTTCTCAGGAATCAGAGAGCAGTGCTAACTTACCGCCTCCTGATCCTGAGCTCTGGCATTTTTGAAGGTTTCCTCAGTCCTGGGTGTCTGCACGCCCCTCACCCATGCTTGGCTGTGGGTCTATTTTCATCATTGTGCTGGGACTCGGTGGGCCTTTTTAAACTGAAAGCACACGTCTGTAATTTGAGGGCCTCGTCCTAATTCCTCCCTTTTAGTGTCCTCTGCTCTGTTTTTCTCTGTTTCCTTGCTTTGGAACTCCTGCTGTCTGCCTGTTGGACCTCATGACTGGTCCTTTGTTTTATTTTTTTCTCTGTTTTCTTTCCCTTTGGTATTTTGATCTAAACTTTATGGAGGACTGCGTCATCTCCCCTCTTCATCAGTGGGATTTTTCACTCCTGTCCTGTTTTTAATTTTAAAGAATGCTTGTTCTCTGATGATTCTTTTTTCATGGCGTCCTGTTCTTGGCTATGCTTTTCTTCTCTTAGATCATGGAGAATATTAATGATAGTTTTTAGTTTTTTAATACCGTTTTCTTTTCCATACGTGGTCTGTGTTTCCACCTGGCTGCCTTGAGCTCTTGAAGGCTCCATGCTAGATGTTCTGGTGCTGGGCCGCCCACTCACATCTGCGGCGTAGCACGAGCCATGGGCCAGGCCTCTGGCTCACTGCTCCACACGCTCCAGAGTGCTGTGTGTGACTCAAGGGCATTGGGGATGGAGCTGAGATATAGTGTGATGTAGTCCTAAGTATCTGGTTTGTGCATGTTTTGCTTTTGGCATAAGCTTAGGGTATTTTATGGTCTGTCTTGGGCTGCATAGCTCTTTGCTATGCAAAGTGACATAGGTCCAAGTGACATCATAATTTATTTGGCAACTCTTTTCCTGGTGGTACGTAAGATGATGGGGTAGCTTCAGTTGGTGCCACCTCAGATTTCACAGAATGTGTGTGTAACATGTGGCATGCCATGAGGCTGTTCTGTGTCCATGCCCCTCTTCTGGTGCAGAGACATGGCCTGGCTGGTGAGACCTAGGGTGATTGTGAAGCCTGCATCAGCTACAGAGCATGGGGGTGCTGAGGTCAGCCCAGAAGTGAGCCCTTAGTTCTGCCTGCCTTAGACTGAGGTATCAGCTTCGTTTAGAAGTAAAAGTGTCAAAAAAAAAAAAAAAAAAGAAGTAAAAGTGTCAAACAGCTCAGGAGCTGACAGCCTACGGTAGTAATTGTGCCTGTTTAAAGCACATCATTGTTGGGGAAACAGATTGTCTGTTTCAACATAACATGATTTGTCTGTGCTGCACTTGTTGCTTGGGCGTTGGATTTCATTTTTTGTGGGGTTGAAGAGCATTCATGCCATGTGAATGTGGACAGAAAGAGAAGGACTCCAGCTGGAATCAGGTTATCCTGCTATATGCGTCATAAGGAAAAGAGAAATCCTCCACCATGTATTGCACTTTGACAAATGCAAAATGTCAGCAGTGCTTTGGGTCCAACATCTAAGGACCAGAAAGTTTCTGATTTTGGCCATAGATGGTGCTGGTATTTCACTGAGTAGCAGCTTGCCTGGACTTGTGTTCAATGCTGTTGTGAGATTTGTCTCCGACAGAGGCAGGTTGGGGTCCGTATCTGGTGCAGGTCCCTTTGGGTGGCAAGGCACATTCATTCAAGGAGTGCCAGCGCCTGCCATGGGTGAGTCCTGGGTACCGGGAGCCCCAAGATCAGAGGGAAGGAGGAGCCCCTTTCCTCAGTTGGCTTGTGTGTCCTGGTTGCTCTAGGAGACAGCCACCTTCGCGGTGGTTTCGTGCTGTGGCAGCTGTGGGGACGGAGTTCGTGTGGGTTTCAGCAGAGGAGGGGACACGAGGTCCGTGTGCGACCATGGTGGGTTGCCTCTCAGAAGGTGCAGACGGGTGGCGGGAGCAGAGGGGTCTTCCCAAGCACCATGCTCCATTTGCTCCATTGCTGCGAATATAATGCTGTCTTTTTTGGTCATTTTACTTCCTGATTTGAAACCGGTGGCTTCTGGATTTGAGAGCAAAGTTCCCGCTTCACTACCTCACCTTTCTTATGGCCCTCCCACCTCGCCCCTGCTTCCCAGCCCAGCTCCTGCCCTGCTCCCGTGTCTGAGTCCTCAGTGTCCCCAGTGCCCCTGGTGTGATCAGGAAACACTGGAGGAGCACTGGGAAGATGAGGAAGGAGACTCCCCCCCCGGAGCACCTGCCGTCCATCAGGGGGGACTGGCTGCGACACGGTGATGAAATAAGGCTGCCTGCCTGCCTGCCACCTGCAGTGAGGACACACTAGCTGTGTGCTCGGGTGTCCGGCACCCCTGGTGCTGTGGAGCTGCTTGCAGAGAGCCCTTTCTGACTGCTTTCTCCTGAAACTGTCTGCACCCTTGCCGTTCCCCTGCTGCTGACTGCCCTACCCCCGTTGTGTCAGGTGCCCGAGGGCGGGGGCTCTTGTCTCATGTTCACCTGAGAGGAGGTCCCCTGGAGGATGTGTGCACTGGCACACATAAGCAATCGTGATTGTCAGTGACTGCTTACAATGTGGTGGAGCAAGCCTCAGACTCCATGCTTGAATAATTTGGGGATATTTGAATAATTGCACAAAACAGGAAGTTAAGCCTTAAAGGACCTGATTTGTGTGAACTTCTCTCTCACAAGTCAAGGGATGTGGAACCACCCCATTCAGAAGGCGCACCACACTCAGGGCTCAGCATGCTCACGGCACCTGGGCAGGTGTGCTGTGAGGGGCGTACGTGGCGTCTGTTTTTAAGGTTTGTTTGTTTGTTTGTTTTTAAGGTCTTGTGGTCTGATTCTTCAGTAACATCAGTAACCAAATCTTCCTCTGAAGTGACTGAATTTATTTCAAAGGTAAGGTGATTAAGGGCTCTTACAAGAATGAAAAGGCTCTCAATAATATTGCAGAGTGATCCCAGTGGATTGCTTCCTTCAGCTGGCAGAGCAAGTAGCTCGTGCATGGCCATGAAAGCATGGTCCTCGACGCCCTGATCTGCGCTGCTTGCAGTTGTTGAGAACGAGAAGAGGCAGGACGCTGTGGCCTGCGCACGTGGCGGAGGGGTGTCTGCTTTGGTTACTCTGCAGCGGAGACTGAGGGAGAGTCCACATGGTCCCAGCTTGGTCTGTCATATCTGCAGGGCTTCCTGGTCCTTTCCAGCTGGCTTAAACAAATGTCATCCAAACAGAAGGTCCCACTACTAGATAAATAACCACTTTCCCTACATAGACGTGTGTCCACACATATATACATACGTACATACATACGTACCCACCTCCACAGTCAGTATGTGTTTCTAGTCCACTGGCCCGGGCCGTAGCTGTGACAAAGTGGTGCATCTTAATTCATCCCCTTTGTTTCATGAGCTGACAGAGCTAAAGTGTCTCCAAAATGAGTCTGAGGTTTTCACTATAAAACCAAGGCTGTAATCCTGTAGGAGGAAATCCAGGGGATGGATCATATTTTCAAAGCTTGGGTAGAAGTTGTTTGCTCATTCTTCTCCTGTTGGCCTGTAAGCCAGGCTTTCTGGGGTTACTGATTCCCCTTGGGATTCACGTTTTCCTCTGTAACCCTGAGAGCGCTACATTTCCTCTCCTGCGTGCCTAGAACATCTGTTGCTCTGGACTGCACTGATGCTGGCAGGAATTCTGACCCCACTGGGTGCTGAGAGTGCTTCATGTTCGCCTGGCTGTGGGGTTCTCTGACCTTCCTGGACGTCTGGTTTGTCGTCTCCTGTTAATTTTGGAGAATTCTTCCGTGTTCTCTCTTCAGATATTTCTTCTGCCCTGTCTCTCTCTTGCCCCGGGACTTGAACTCCATGCACCTGGACCTTTGACATCATCCATAGCTCTTGGGGGCGCCTTCTGTTTTCTTGCTCCTCTTGCTGTGTGTTTGAGTCGGACGATTTCTGTTGTCCTGTTTTCAGGCTCCCTGATGTTCAGTCTGTAGCTCTGCCCAGGCTGCCACTGAGCCTGGTTTACGTGCTGAGTTCATCTCTGGGACCGTGGTTTCCTATTGTTCCTGGCTTTTCCATCTTGACATGACTTTTAATAAAGTTTCCTTCTCTCTGCTGAGATTTCCCATTTGTTCATGCATGTTGTCTGTTTTTTCTCAATCTTTCAGTATGTTAAACCTAGTTGTTTTATAATCCCTATCTCATAGTTCCAACATCCAGTTATCTCTGAGTCTCGCTCTGATGATTATCTTGATAACAGGTTTCATTCATTCTTTTTTTTTTCTATGTCTTGTAATTTTTTATTGAGTATTAAACATCATGTTTAGAAAATGTAGGAGACTGAAGGAAGCAGTATGTCTGCTTGGAAATGGGCATGTTGCTGCTTCTCTCAAGCCCTCGGTGGGGTCCTCGATTTGACCTAATCAGGAGTTGGGCCGGGTTTGGGTTTTGTTGCTGCTACCCCGCGGGCTTCAGGTTCCTCTGGGGGAGGGCAGCTGATACCTTGAGTCCCGGGAGAGGGGCCCGCAGTGTCAGAAGTTCTGTCAGGGGTCTGGCTTCACCCTTGGCCCTCAGCAGTCCTGGATGCCCATGGCCTGGAGGGGCTGTCCCTGCTCTGTTGAGCACCCTCCTCAGCCCCGGGGAGAGTACGGTTGCTTGTTTTAACAGCCTGATGACAGACTTGTGGGGGTGAAGTGTTCTCCATCCTCCTGGTCCAGCCCAGTCCCAGGCACAGGGTCTTTGGGGGCTTCCCCGGCATCCCCGCCCCTCTCTTCCCCAGCACCCGCTGACCTCCTCTTTGTACTGGTGGAGTATATCCTCAGCCCGTGAGGCTTTTGCCCTTTCTTCAGGGCCAGAGGGGTGTGCTTGTCCCTTCTCCTGGGAGCAGGGCATCTTTGCCCATGGCCTGGTGCAAGGAGGACTCCCTCCCCTCCCGCAGAGGCAGAAAAGTAGTGCTTCTGCTTCATCCCCAGAAACAGAGGGTCTGCTTGGGCTCTGAGAGCAGGAGCTGTCTTGTCCCTCCCCCAGAGGCTTAAGGATTTTGCCTCAGATTTAGAGAAAGCTCCAGGGAAAGGCATAGAAGTTCCTGCCAGGCCCCCAGGGGCAGCCAGCCCACACCTCCGCTGCCTTGGAGGCTCTCTCCAGTCTCCTTTGGAAGCAAGCTTGGGAAGGCAGGACACTCCCCCTTGTGTCTGGGCTCTTGGCTGACCACTGTGTGGCCCACACTCAGCCCGTGGGAAGTGTCCATCTTCTGACCTCTTCTGGCTGCTGGCATGGCGGCCACCTCTTCCTCGTGTTCTGCTGCAACAGAGACGGGTTGTGTGTCTTGTCTCTCCTTGGAGGGACAGGTCCCTCTTGAAATTCAGTTCACTTGGTGACCTTGCAAATGAATTCCCGATGGGCTCATGGAAGGTACGATCGTGTAGGTTATCGAGGTTTTTACCGATGCTGTGGGTGGGAGCAATGTTCTTTTGTGGCTTTCCACATCCTAAGTGGAAGTAGAACCCCAAGGAGCTGAGAGCAGGGTGGGTCATAGTGTCCTACAGGTGTCAGCATCTAGTACCCTCCCACTTCTCAACTGGGGGAGGCCAGTGTCAGGTGAATTTTGACAGACGTCCGATGCTTTTCCATCTCTTTCAGTTACCCCAGCTGTACCCTGAAGAAAATCTGGAGAAGTTCATTCCTTGCTTAGCTGGCCCAGATTCCTTTTACGTAGAGCGAAATCACATGGATCTGGAAGCAGACCTGAGGTAATGCTATCCTGCACCTGCGGGCCAAGGATGCAATTCTGGCAGTGGGCCCATGGGCCCACCCTTTGGCGATGTGGGACATAGCCAGAGTGGGGCGGGTGCACACCTGGGCTGCCTGGTCATCCCAGCAGCTGTGAGGGCACATGCTGCTCCCAGAGGCCCGGGTCTCTGTCTGTCCCTGGGGATTTTCATCTGTTACGGAGAATTTGGTGGAGCTAGTAATGTAGGCATGATTTTGAGGATGTGAGTAAAGGAGTTTCACGGTACATGCCACCACTTAATGTGATTTTGACATTCTGACCAAATAAAATCCAAGTACTGTTTCTGTCCCGTAGTGGGAAGTTGAGATTTGCAGGAGGGGACTAGGACCCAGTAAAGTCCCGAAAGCTGGTATCTCCCAGCCAAGTCCATGACTGACGGGGCAGGCCTGCTGCCCGGGCCCAGCATCCCAGCACCAGCAACTAGAGGCAGCACAGCGGGCACAGCTCTTGTGCCAGCCTGCTGCCGACCTCCCACTGTGAGATGCTATGGGTGTGGGGAAAGGGGCTCAGGGGAACGAAAGGACTCAGGAGTCGAATTGAGGCAGGGAGAACATAGGTTGTGGCACTTCTGTTTACTTTTTTCTCTCTTGTATTTCTCTTAACAGAAAATTACAATTTCTCTCCCCATTAGTTTTTGGTAATAACCATTTTAATGCTGATAAACCTGCATTGTTTAATTTGTAGGTATTTGGCCTCATTACCTTCTCACTTATTAAAAAATGACCACGTTAAGAGATTTTTCAGCACTTCATCTCCCACCCAACAGCTTCAAAGTCCAAGTGAGTTTATGAAATGTAATTACATAAAGATAGAAACATCTTTATTATGTGTAAACTTTATGACATCTATCTTAACTTACAGGTCCTGGCACCCCCTCCCTCTCTAAAGTGGGTACCATGATGGGCGTGTCTGGAAGGTGAGGCATCCTGTGTAAGCAGCGTGTTTCAGATCAGCATAGAGCTTACTTCTGACTGTGTGTAAATAATTGTAGAGTGAAGTCATTTTTGGTTTTAGTCTTGAATAATATTATGAGGGGAACTGGGTAGAGATACTCCAGTTTATGATTTCTCCATGTAAAAAGAGAAGTGGTTCTCTGAGCCATTGCACTTGTAATTCCTAAGGATTGTTACTGCAAGTGCCAGTTTCTGGGCCCTGTGCATCCTAGAATTTCAGAGAATATTCATTTTTCCGAGCTCCCAGGGAACAACTGCCCATGAGGTGGCAGAGGCACTGCTCCAAGAGTCCTGTCAGCCTCGGGTTGACAGTGATTATAGCAGTGCTTGGGTGGCAAACAGGCTGTCATTAAAATGGGTCAGTATCATGGACAGTGACACACACGCATATAGTTATGTGAAGATGCAGTCAGGTCACGAGGTCTTTGAAAGTGCTGACTTTCTGGGTTTACAGTCTTGGGTGGAAGGGGCAGGGCAGAAAGCAGAATGCTGAGCATTCCTGCCTGCTACCAAGACTCCCTTTCAAAAAAAGTCCATTCAAATAAAAGATTTAAGGAGTCCGTTTTAATTTAAGATTTTCAGTATCATGCTATGATAGGGTAACAGAAACTAGGCCGCTCAGCCAGGAGTCGGTGACGCACGCATGCACGCACACACACAGATGTGCATACTCTGAAGCATGCCTACAGACACCTTCAGGGGGGTGGCATCACAGAGGCACAGCAGCAGGAAAGGGCTTTGGTGCTGACAGTAGGCATGGCCTCTGATGCCATCCAGCACCTGAGAGCTGGCTACTGCATGCTTCCCACCCAGTTGTGGTGGAGGCTGCAGTCTTGTGAAAACCACCTGTCTGCCTGCTATCTCCACAGGCCTGTGTGTGGTGTGGCTGGCATCCCATCCTCTCAGAGCGGCGCCCAGCACCACATGCAGCACTCGGCCAGTGCAGCCACCTTGCCCCACTGCTCCCACACAGGGGGTACAGGCTCAGCACTGGCCTACCGGGCCCAGATGGACACCTCGCCTGCCATCCTGATGCCCTCCAGTCTGCAGACCCCTCAGACTCAGGAGCAGAATGGGATCTTAGACTGGCTTAGGAAACTGCGCTTGCACAAGTACTACCCAGTCTTCAAACAGCTCACAATGGAGAAGGTATGTGGATGACTGGGCAGGTGACACAGTCTTCTTCTGCTCTTATTCCTCGTGGGCTTGAGTTGGGTGTCTAGACTGTCCATGATGTGGAAATCACACAGCCCGGTATCTGACACCTGTATGTATATGCCCTAAGTCCCACACACACCAGAGGAGGAGTGGCAGTGCATTTGGATTTGAAGGCTCCCTGCAGCCGAAGCAAAAACTGGAACATAGTTATGAACAAATTTTTTTTTTTTAAAGATAGTTTGGGGTCTTCATGTGTTAGATACACTGTGTGATATGAAGGACATTGTATCTCCAGCAGCCATTTCAGTAGAAACGGTGAATTGGGGTGTGCACGCCCCCTTTGTTAGATGCCCTTCAGCTTAGGCTGTGCATACGCAGGAGGTCAGTGCCTAAGGGCCTGTTTTACAAGATGCCCAGATACTTGGATCCGAGGAAATAGCCCACTGATGATCTGGCTTGATTGAGGGTCATACAGCTGAAAAGAATAGATGAATTTTATGTCTTTCAAGCAGTCCTACATAGAAATTTTTTTTAAGAGAAAGGGAAGGGTGGTAGGAGGAGCGGAGGGAGAGGGAGAGAATCTCAAACAGACTGCAAAATGAGCACAGAGCCTGTGAAATGGCTGATCTCAGGACTTTGAGATCGAAGCCAGAGCTTGAAGTCAAGAGTCGGGACGCTTAACCAACTGAGCCAAGGAGCCTTGAAAATTATTTTTTACAACAGAGAGTTCTGATGAGCATTTTTTCGTTGTTAAAATTTGAAATTTCTGAGCTAGTGGCATCATTGAGAAAAACTAAATTTGACCCATGGCCGTGTTTGAGCTCTGATGCCCCCTGCTGGATACAATCACTTGGCACTTTTATCTATGTAAAAAATCTCATTTGTCCAAAAATCTGCAAGTGAACCTAGAAATCAAGCTTTGAGTACATAAAAAACAAAACAAAACAAACAGCTTTTAAGTATATTTGTAATATTCTTGGCTTAGGATACATAAATCCTAAAAACCACAGATTTTGCCAACCTTGTCTCATGGTCAATTTAAAAAGTTTCAACATAATGTAGGAGTTGAATTTTAGCCATAAAAATCACAAATCGCATTATAGACTGTTGTGAGAACCAGCGTGTTGTGCCTGCCCGGTATAAAACCACCAGTTAGTTAGCCATTTAATTCAGATGGCATCATCTTTTCTGGAACACTTGCTTCTCAACAAAGTTGCTTTGCCCCTAAAATGACAGTGAATTTTGAGAAAAAAGAGCTGTTAAGAGTTCTCCTGTCTGCAGGAGGATAAATGGCTTGTATCCAAGGAGGTGGATCCCTCAGACACTTCCATGGATAGGAGGGGAACACTTGAACAGATCCAGTCTCTCTAGAAGTGGAAACTAAAGACATTTTCTTCAGTTGCCTGCCCCATAGTGCAGACCTTGCAGGTGCACCATCTTCTCTGGCTGTGGGGAAGGCCCAGTGGACATGGTCTGTGAGCCTTCTATGCAAAGTGAACATTTCATATTTTGAACAAGGAACATCATGATATCATTTAGCAACGAGCTATTTTGGTGTTTCCAAGCTTTTTATTTGCCTTTTATTATCCAGTTAGGTTTGATCTGTTTGCATGTCCTAATGGTAGGATACATTTATTAAATGATACTCCAAGTTCTTTGTTTTCTGAGTCTTAATTGATTCTCAATAACTCTGTAATGTGTTTCTTCTGTGGAAGTTTCTGAGCCTTACTGAGGAAGATCTAAATAAATTTGAATCCCTCACAATGGGAGCAAAGAAAAAACTCAAGACTCAGCTGGAGCTGGAGAAGTAAGTGTGAAACATCGGTTCCTTTTTGTTCCTAATATACTGAATGTGGTATCTAAATGGGGTGTCTTGGACTGGATAGGGACCTCTGAATGTGGGATGACAATCGGGTGCCCTGGGAGGCAAAAGAATTCTCCTGAGGCAGTGTACAAAGGAGACAGAAGTTTATTGAGCAGAGGCTGTTAGCTAGAGGCAGTGGGTGTGGGGGCTGTATTTAAAAAGGGAAGGTGAGGAGGTGTGGAATCTTCCCTTTCTTAGTAACTGTGCTGGTTGTAAGTAGCCCAGTGGTCAGTTGGGGCCTATGGATATTCTGAGGTGGGCCTGTGTTCAGCCAGCGGGTTGCTCTGGCCTGTTTGCTTGAAAGCGCCTCGACACGGAACAGGTGCTAGCAGTTACAGCTGAATGCCATTGATTGATCACTTTGATTGCTTAGCAAAGCTTCATTAATGCTTTTACAAATCTACGGATGTGGTTTTTGGTGTGCTAGGGAAGGACCTTTGCAGAGAATCCAACAAGTCAGAATGAATTGTTTTCCATCTATGAGGATATTTGTGGGGCAGTCACCCTTGTATGGAATCTGCACTAAAGCAGAGCTTGGGAAATGTCAAAAGGTTCTTTAGCAGAAGACCTGAATGCTCTCTTGTTCACATGCTCTCTTGCCACACAGGGAGAAGTCAGAAAAACGGTGCCTGAACCCCGCAGCCCCACCCCCAGTCACCAGCAGCGGAGTGGCCCGAGTCCCACCCACCAGCCATGTCGGGCCTGTGCAGACAGTGCGAGGCACCCACGCTGCAGGTGGGTGAGGGCAGGCGGCCTTGATGGATCTCTGGCTCTTCCTTTTGAGAATAGTTAAGACCGTAGACGATACCCACACTTTTGGCCATTTGCTTGTTTTTAGAATTTACAGTTATTGCTCATTAGTTTAGCTTTTATCATGTCTACCTTAGAAAACAGAAGGGACATTTGGATTAGAAGCTGGAGACCGGTGACTCGCCTGAAGTTGTTTGGGCAAAAGAATTAGATCCAGAAGCTACATGATGAGAAGAGAAGGAAGTACCCCAAACAGATGAATATACTCTCCCCCAGGAGGTGCAGACAGGTCATGTGTAGGTCCTTGCCCTGGAGGCCCATCTTGAAACTCCCCAGTGTGCCTAGTGCAGCAGCCTCCCTGTTGTGGGGCCTGGGGAGCCACTCCCCTGTGTTCCCTGCCTTCGCCTCCACAGATGGGGCAGAAGGCATTGAAGGACAGAGTAACGGAGCCAGGGAGGAAAACATGCTAGTGTTCTCTTTTCAGTGGTTATTTGAATAAGAGGTCTTACATCCCTTAGCCTCGTAGAATAGGGGTGTCTCTCAGTGTGGGGAGCTGACTTTTGTCACACCATGGTGGCTGGGGATCCTTGTCCCTTCTCCAGCATGAGTAGGGAGGCATGGTGGCACCTGGCCGAGAGCCTGGCCGTGCTCACACCTGCTGATGACCAGCTGTGGGGACTTGGGCAGCTTGCTTTCTCTGAACCTCTGGGTCCTGTCCGTCCGCAGTGGGAGTGACAGCATCTGCCCCCCCCTGGGGCTGCCATCCAGGTCAGGTGGGCAGGGAGGGCGCAAAGAGGTGTTGGCCAGCACAACCCACGTGGGTACCCCTTTTCCACAGCGCTGCGGGTAGAAGTGGAGCAGGCCCCTCACCAGACGGCCCGGGAAGGCAGCTCCTCAGAATGCTCCAGCTCTTCGCCCAGCCCGATGGGGGTGCAGGGCCGGGAAGAGAGCTCGGACAGCGCCGAGGAGAACGACAGACGTAAGGACATGCGGCCTGGTGAGCACTGCGCTGTTCCTGCCCTGGCCTGTGAGGCTGTGCTGACCGCCCTGTTTCCATCCCTAGGTGTGGAGATTCACTTGGAGGGCTCGGATAAGGAGAAGCCCGTCATGCTACTGAATCATTTCGCTTCCAGTTCTGCCAGACCCACGGCCCAGGTTCTCCCCGTGCAGAATGAGGCAGGCTCCAGTCCATCGGGCCACCACCCCCTGCCCCCCCAGATGATGGCTGCAGCCTCTCACCTAGCGCCCATCCGGATGCTGAATTCCGTGCACAAGTCGGAAAGAGGGGGTGCGGACATGAAGCTCCTCCCGCCTTCCGTGCACTCGCTGCTGTCTCTAGAAGAAAGGAGTAAACTCTCGGGACCAAGAGGCGGCATCAAAGTGGACAAGAACTTTGGCCATGCAGTGATCGACGCAGCACCCGCACCCACCCCCCAGCAGCCCCTGCAGGTCCTCTCCGCCCTTGCCGAGAGCAGCTCCGTGTCACCTAGCGTCTCCTTCGGTCCCCGTGCCAAAGTCGTACACACGTCTGCGCTGGACCGGGTGATGAAGCCGGCCCCGCAGTCAGCTCTGGCGGCGGAGAGCAGCACGGCCGCCGCAGGGACGTCGAGCACGGTCTTCCACGTGGCTCGGCCCCCCATCAAACTTCTGGTGTCTTCATCTGTCCCCGCGGACTCTGCCATTTCTGGGCAAACTCCCTGTTCTAATAACGTGCAAATAAGCGTGCCCCCTGCAATAATAAACCCCCGGACTGCTCTGTACACCGCCAACACCAAAGCTGCCTTCTCTGCGATGAGCAGTGTGCCCGTGGGGCCCCTGCAGGGCAGCTTCTGTGCGAACAGCAACACTGCCTCCTCCAGCAGCCACCCTTCCACGTCCTTCGCCAGCATGGCCACTGTGCCCAGCTGCCCAGCTCCCAGCTCCAGCCCCGCGCTCTCCTCGGCCCCCGAAAGCAGTTTCTACAGCAGTAGCGGCGGCGGAGGTGGCAGCGGCTCCCCCGGGAACATTCCTGCCTCCACCCAGAACCACCACCACCACCACCACCATCAGCAGCCATCGGCGCCCCAGCAGCCCACACCGGCCCCACCGCCTGGCTGCGTTGTGTGCACGTCCTGTGGATGCAGCGGCAGCTGTGGCTCGAGTGGCCTGACCGTCAGCTATGCCAACTACTTCCAGCACCCGTTCTCGGGGCCGTCTGTGTTCCCCTTCCCCTTCCTGCCCTTTAGCCCTGTGTGTGGCAGCGGCTACGTGGGTGCCCAGCAGTATGGTGGTGGCGCCTTCCCCGTGGTGCATTCGCCCTACGGTGGCAGTGTGCCTCCCGAGCCTGTGCTGGGCGGCCAGTCTGCGTTCACCGTGCCACCCATGCAGAGCTTCATGGCAGGCGCGGCGGGTGTGTACCAGGCCCCAGGACTAGTGGGCAGCAGCAACGGCGCCAGCCACAAGAAGAGTGGCAATCTGTCGTGTTACAACTGTGGGGCCACTGGGCACCGCGCTCAGGATTGCAAGCAGCCGTCCATGGACTTCAATCGGCAAGGTAAAGGTGGGCGGCTGCAGAGCGGGCTGCCCTGGTTAGTGGTACAGCGTCACCCCCAAGGAGACACACTCACAGAGCTTTACTCTTTATGGAAACAATAGGAAATGTTCTTTTTAAAGCAGAAACCAGTTTTTTGAATGCTATTTGGAAAAGCGTGAATTCTTGATAGGCTCTAAAGCCCCCCTGCCCCTCAAAGGGTTACATTGTCCCTACGCTGGCCGTTGATTTCAGCCTGCTCCTCGTTCCAGGGACTAGCGAGCTGGGGAGGGGGTTGTGTGGCCTGGTCGCATGTGGGGGTGACTTGACACCCTCACCCCACATTCAGCTGAAAGCCAGGGCCAGGGGCGTGGCATGTGAGCATGGGTGCTGCCGGTAGGTCGGACTGTCCCCGTCTTCTTTGCCCCTAGGTAGCCAGGCTGGAGGTGTGTGGCTGTATGATGGCACCCATACTGCCACGTGCCCCCGCCCCTTTCCCACTTGCTCTTTGGTCTCTAGTCCACTTCAGGTGTGTATCCGATGTGGTGACACAGGCTCTTGCTGTTGGCTCTGGGAAGGTGGTTAAACTAGGCCCGAGGGTCTCTCTCAGCTCTGGGATACTCACTGTGCAGCCTTGAAAAGTCTGTCACTTGGTCTCTGTACACTTCTGATGGTTGCCCCAGACCTGGGATCCTGAAACACACCTGTGCATCTTGGTCACTTGGAGAGCGTTTAGTGACAACTCTGGGGGCAGATGGGGGTGACCGTGGGCAGTGTTCACCCTGTGGCCAGAGGTGGGGCTGTATCTTCTGAAGCTGGGAGCCTCGGCCCATGGTGATGGTCAGGCCTCCCTGGCCCGGCTGATTGCCCGAAGACTAGAGAGTGGGACCAGGGACTGCCAGGTCACTCCTCTTCTGTGTGGATCTATGGGTAGTGTCTAATTCTGGGACTGTGAGTGGGGAGCTGGAGGTGGGTCCAATAGGTAGCCCAGATTTCCAGCACCCACCTCTTGACCAGTGACTCTCGAAAGAACTTGGGACAGCTCAGTTGTTGGCAGTAATTGCACGGTGATTTAAATTTGATCTCTTTCCTCCTCCCTCTCTATAGGTACTTTTAGGTTGAAATATGCCCCTCCAGCAGAAAGTCTGGACTCCACAGACTGACATTTTTCTCTGGCAACAGAACACTATTAAGCCATGGAAACAGAAGGAAAATTAAATCCAAAACTGAGAAGTCTAGTTGCTGTTGAGCTTACTATTTTTAATCCAAAGGTGCTTTACTTTACTAGACTGGATAGAAAACCTAGCGTAGGAGTGCATCAAACTCAGTTTTATTGCCAAAATCCTAGATTGGAGCTTGACGTCAGGACTCGCCTGGTTGGTGCCTCCACCACGGTTGTGATGTGGAGACCTCCGTCTCCCGAGGAGCATCGCCGTCATCGGTTCTACCAGGTCACATGTAATTCCAGGGCAGCTACGCAAGATCGGAATCAGAACTGCAGGTTGTAGTTCTCCACGTGGAGTTCCGCCAGACGGACTCTTGATACCCTGGGTGAGGGGACATGTCGCCTTTGTTTCGTTTCGTTGTTTGGTTTTGTTTTGTTCCTCCAGTGGTTAGACACTAATCTCTCTGGGCTTTTTAAGGATTGCACTACAGAAGAATGTACACTGATGTCAATCTCTGCCATTCTGGGAGACAGACTCCCTGAGACCAGTCAGTGCAAGACATCCGTTTTTAAGGAGTTGGCACCAGCAGGCTATGTGACTTGGTACACAGCAGAGATTTTAGCATTTCCTTCCCTCCTTAAAACACTTGTAGCAGTCTCAAGTTTTTAATTTTTTTTCTGCGAATAAATTTAAACTATGTTATTAAATAGAAATAGTTACTCGCAACAACTTAATATCTAAGGGTCCAAGTCCCAGAGAATCCCTTCCTTCTCGGCCCATCAATAGCTTGAAGTCCTGTCATTTTCCACCTCGACGGAGCTCTTGCAGAGACATGGTGACCGCACAGCCTTCGTGAGCTGGCTCTGAGGGATGCTCCACGTCCTTGGCAAAGTTGGCAAGTTCTTTTATCTCACACGGATCTCCCAAGGACCCCAAGGCTTACTGCTAACGGATTCACACTTGAGACAGACATTTCAACAATACAGTCCTATAATTCACGAGCAAAAGATTCGAAATGTTCTCCTGTCAACTTCTTTTGTATTAGGCTGTGTATTAATGGTTAGTTCTGCTAAAAATGACCCGAAAACTACAATAGAAAGTGGTAAGACTCTAAAAGAGACCACACCAACAGGACAGAGCTACAAGATCTGCAGGAATCTAGTTTTATCCAAAGTAGGAAAGAAATCCTCACCGTACAGCTCTGTGTCACCCCATTACCATGAAAGCTTCTTGGTCTGAAATTGAGGGACTTATAAATCTTTAAAGCTAAAAGGGAATTTTCTGCTCAAATATTGTTATTTTAAACACTAAAGCCTTCAATATTAAAATATTTGGTAAGGCCTTGCCCAGGGATTCTGCAGATGAATATTAAAAAAAAAATCATAATATTCAGACCTTTCTTAAAATGGGACAATCAGCCTCATGCCCGATTGGTGTAAAAGAATATCCTAGAATTTGAGGCGTTGTGATGTGAGGCTTCAAATTTTATGATCAGTTTCCTGGCTGGAGGGAAACTAGCAGAGTTGTTACATTTTTTTATGAAAGGCTTTTAGTAGAGTTTTTTAGAGTTTTATTTTAGTAGAGTTTCATTTCTATGCAATGCAGAATTGACAGACCTCTGTATGCTATCTCTCTTCCTGGTACACAGTATTATATACAGTTTTGAAGTGATGGTGACGCTTACAACAACTTTTTTGGGGAATGTTATATTGATCTCATAATTATAAACAAAATGTCAAAATAACGAGAACTGACACAACTTTGCCTTAAAGAGTAGGAGCCTGGAACTTGTCATACGATGTTTAAGGAAGACTTGGGGGTGTCCGCTGATGTTTACGATTTTAATATTTCTGAAGGCCGTTATGGTGGCCTGGACATGTGCTGAAAGCCAAACTTTTAAAATTTTTGGTTTTTTTTAAACAAAGAAATATTTTAAATAAATCCTATTTCAACACAGTGAAATTGTTGAAAACTGTCTCATAAAAGAAAAATATCATATTTAGGGTTTTTGTTTTAGTGGTCAGTATTGGGGACTGAAAGTGTCTGTTGTTACCCTTACGACTATTTTGACAAATATTAGAGGCTAGTGTGTTCCATACAACAAAAAATAGGAGTTTCGATTTGAAGTAGGACATTCAAATTGAGGTAAATAAGTCCAGACATTGTGCGGCTGTGTTCCAGTCATCAAAGGTCTTAGAAAAATTCCCACTTGTCTTTGAAAGTGCATGTGCGCTGTGATGTCTCCAGTGTGGCCATACCAAGGTGAGAATTGTAAAACATCAATGTGAGCCACACGGGATACAAAGCATCCAGCTGCCGATCGGTGAGATCTCTTCCTGAGTGACTACTTGGACTTGGGAATATTTGCTGGCAGTGTAATCTCTGGTGAATTTCTCTCCAAAAGCAACCAAAGTCAGTAAGCCTGAAGAGCATTTTGCATTTCCTCAGATGTCCTCATCTTCTCAGAAACATGGATCTGACTGACCCTTTCAACTATGTAGTCATTTTCCAGAAATCATGGGCTCAGTTTCCAAATGCTGTAGCAGCCAGGTAGGTGTGGCACAGCCACTTTGCTCTGTGTGGTCTGTTATATTATCAGAGTTTCCCCATCTTTTTTTGTCTCCAAGAATGGGGGAAGTGGAATGTACAGATTGAAGTAGAATACAACGTTGGGATAAAACAACTATTTAATCCTTTTTTTTTTTTTTAAAGCAAGCACTCAATTTTCTACTTTCTAATTTTTATGTCATGGTAATATTGAAAATTGGAAAGTGTTTAAATGTTAAAACTTGTAATTGCTAAAGAGCACTGAGGAAATGGGAACTAGCACTTAAATAACATTTTCTTCAAAGCACGTATGCAATTGGGTATTTTAAAAAAAAAGCAACCAGCATCATCTAGAATAATCTCTAGAAGATTACAGGAGTCAGCTTGTGAATATAGTAGTTAATAGGTTCAGTGTTTTAATTCACTATTTAGGAGTCACCGTAGCTAGTTTGCACTTCACTGTGTAGGTGCGGCGCAGCCTCAGCAGCAACTGCGCCGCGCCTCCCAGTTGGAGCACAGACTGATCGGACCCATCCAGATCTGATGGAGGCTTGCTCTGGGCTCGCTCCAGTATCCCTGGAGCGTGCTGGCCTGGAGGAATCAGGTTGCACCCCTCCTCACTCCCTAGCATCTTGTACTCTTCCTGCTTCTGTGGTGGGTTATTTGATGCCTTGCTAGTTTTACATACTGGTTACCGATGGTGTATACATGGAGTCTTAAGGATGTTAAGGGAAACTGTCCTTCCCAGAGGATGGGCTTGTGGAACCCAAAGGGGCGGATGTCCTTTCCAAAGCGCAGATGACTCCCAAAGGATGAGTCAGGTAACAGTTTAAAGCCATGGGCTCTGAGGAGGCTCAATTTGCAAAGTCCCTAGGTTCTGAATGAAAAAAAAAAATCTTTAATCAACACTCTGGAAACCACATACTTGCTGGTTGAGGCCAAAGGTCAATTTTACTACACTGTTCTGGGGGGGAGGGGAGCTCAGTGCATCTCTGTCAAGTCAGTCCCAGGTATTGTAACAAGCCCCTCACATGCATTAAGTTTTTACATGCACAAAGATGAAGGCTTTGGTACCGAAACCGAAGACCCTTGTGTACTCAAGAATCTTCACAGCTTATATTGGACAGATTTTCTTTTTAGGAATGAAGGAAAATTCTCCCATTTTTGAGCCATTCTTTTATGTCAATTCTACAAAATTGCATGTAACTTTATAAATATTTTTAAAAGATATAGTTTTGTAAATATTTAATATTCTGCTAATTTGATTTTGAATTGTAAATGTTAAGTATTGTTTTTGAAGTTTTTATGTTTTATTATACTTTGTTAAAAAAGAAAAATTGTACATTTTTAGAATGTTTTTATGAGTAAATTTAATGTACTGAAAATAAAAATTAAAAAAAACTTTCATTTTACTATGTCTTTGTCTCAGAATATGAAGCACACATCTTTTCAAATAAATTGCAACTCTTGGGTTTGCACACTAGGGGAGTCACTTTTCTGCCTTCTCAACTTTTTTTTGAAGATTTATTTATTCATGAGAGAGAGAGGCAGAGACACAGGCAGAGGGAGAAGCAGGCTCCATGCGGGGAGCCCGACGTGGGACTTGATCCTGGGACTCCAGGATCACGTCCTGGGCTGAAGGCAGGCACTAAACCACTGAGCCACCCAGGCGTCCCATGCCTTCTCAATTTGACAAGAGATACATGGTTTTAAATCCATTTCCTATCAAGTTTCCCATGTTTTAAAAAATATCTTTACTATGACCAGAAACATGATCTCTTGATTTGGGGTTTAAAGATGTTCCATCTCTAGATTCCATAAAAAAAGATTGTAAAAAAACAAAAACTAAATAAAAAATAAAATCAAGATAAAAATCAAGATTGGCACAAATAGGTATCTGTGAACCATCTTTGGAACATTTCTAAACACGTGATACACATAGCATGAACATGGCCTGGCATTTAAAGCTCCGTCTTCTCTCTGGGTTGGGGATGGTGGCAGCCTAATGAGCACAAGCTCACCCAGGACTGGTGTTCTCATGAGCAGTGCCGGACACCAGAGGGAGAATCCTGGTGCCTTTTTCCCAACTGAGGTCCCCAGGGCCGCTTGGGTCTTGTCAGGCTTGTGGCTACCCAGAGGAGAATGCTCATGTACACACAGTTCCAGCCACTAGGGCTCCTGTCAGGAGACAAACTGCAGCCCCTCTGAAGATTTGGCAGGGGGAGAGGGACGACACACACCGAGCAACAAACATGGGGAAGCAGAACATTTCGTCATCTTGCTTCCTGCCTGGATTCTTCCACAAACGTTTTAAGTGCCTGCTTCGATGCGAAATGGGTTGAGTTTTTCAAATGAGTAATGCTGGCCACTACTTGGCTTGTGTGTGTACTGGATCTTTCCCTGATGCAGCAAGAAGTACCCAAAACCACATAATGCCTCCTTGACCACTCACATAGTCTTACTAGCGTCTGTTTTACTTTCACTTAAAGGGGCAGGTTTTCAAGTGTTCCCACAAAACACCCAGGTCCCACATCCACCCATTACTTTGTGCCCTGTCTTTTAGTTCTCAGGAAAATTTACTTGTGCGAAGACGACCAGATGGCAGAACCTTGACCAAGGCGAGGAAGGTGCCTGGGATGAGGAAGAGACCTTCAGAGGCCCTCCCCCCACTGCTGCCACCCCCTGGCTTGGGACAGTACAGACAGTGTACAGCACTGCCAAGCACCAAGTACTCATCCATTAAATTGAGCTTGATGACAGTTTTTAGTTGTGCCTTTATTCACCTTAGTTCATTAAAAATGTACTTGGTTTAGAGATCCTAGTGACCACCCAGTAACGTGGGATAAAAGTCACCCCTCTCCACATGGTACTTTTGTTTTTTTAAAAAAGCAGAATTTCTTCTAGGAATCTTATTGATCATACAGTAGTTACAAGAATGTCAGATATAATGATGTATACAATCTAAACAAGACAAGCTGATTAGGAATTTACATAATGTAAAAATACACATATTAAAAGTTAGCCATGTGGACAGATGCATGCAGCAGAAAGAGTAGTTGGAAAGTCGGGGATCAAGTGCCCATATGCAGTACTATTGCTTCCCCCCCCCCCCCATCCTCCGTTAATAAGTAACTTCCACTAACAAGTATAGGTATTCCACACACATCTAAAATACACAAAGGTAAGTTGTGACCTGCTACAGTACAGTCTAAAGTGATGTGTGATCTTTCTGTGCTACTGCCACAAAAATAGTAAATAGTGAACCCCATGCAGGTAGTAGGAAGCATTGGTTATTCTAGTTAAACTTGGAAAATTTTTAAACTTCTGACATTAATATCTGTGAAGAGTGTTAGGTCTCCTTTTGCTATTGTTTTCTTCACAACTGACGTGCAGTCAAGAGTGGAGAAACTTTGATGGTTGTTTGACCTACAGTACAACTGAAATACTCTTTAAAAATGTAACTTTTTAATAACAGAGTCACACACTTAACATAAAACATGGATCTCTACAGCTTTAGGCCAAAGGGTAGAGGGAGTGCATCTGCATTGTAATGCTTTAGTTTCCATGTTCTGTAGTTTCTAGCACTGTCCTAAGGAATGAAACTGATAGAACAGCTTGTTTCTTTACCAAAGCAGACAGCAGTTTAATGTCACACTTTCTTTCTCTGGGCCCTTTGAGAAACTAGACAAAAATTTTAAATTATTCAAGCGTCTTGTTGAGCAGTGGTGCTTTTCTTTATTGTCTAGAGAAGCAGCAAACAAGACCTCCCTAGCACTGTGAGAGTGCTGACTCAGGGTACACTTACACCAGAATCAGGAACCTTTCTTACTCCCATTTTCCCTTTTTGCCAACTATTATGGCAAATGTGGGGGTGGGAGTTATGCTTGACAACTTAGGCTTAAGGATCCTCTTACAGAGATTTCTCCCATTGAGTAGAAACCCTTTTTCTACAAAAAGTTGGCTGGTTCAGTGAACCTAGAAAAGACTTCATGTCTCTCTGAATGCTTAAATTGCAAGTTCCTAATAGATAAAGAGCGTTAAAATAACGTGAAGGTCTATTTTATTGGCAACTTACAATGCAAAGTATTTTATTTTTAAACGCCTAAATTTGAAAACAAAACAGCCTAGGTTAAATAATATAGTTTTCCAAAGCTGAATGTGCTCATTTGGAGCTCAGTTTTTCTGCTTGCAGTACAAAACAACTTCCTAAAACTCCTAGGCAGGAACACTACTGTTTTGATGATCTGTGATTAGATGAACTGATCAATCTTAGCTGGTAATATCCCTTTTTTTCTCCTTGGTAAGGGTTTAAAAAAATTCTAGAAGAGATGCATCTTTCTAGTCTTACACAAACAATTTCATTCCAAATGTCTCCTGAGAGGCATATACCATATACAGGAATCCATCTTCATCCTTCTCACTTTCATACACTTCAGAAATCGGTGTGGACACACTCACCATGCTGTGTCCATTCACTAACAGGAAGAAGGCTTGATTAGCATTGAGCTGTAAGCGCCTCCTATTGAAAGAAAACAATGTGAAGAGATGCCAACCAACACATTAATATGCAGGGGACATGTAAAAATATCACCCACCCCCACTGATCTAAAAGTATAACGCTTTTGTAAATGCTGCTTCTGGCAATGTGTATGCCTACTGATGACTCATAAAACTTCCCATAAAGCATAGGACATTTCCTATGATTACATTCATGAATGACATTAGCGGTAATCTTGGTAGATTATTCTTACTAGGGATCCCTGGGTGGCGCAGAGGTTTGGCACCTGCCTTTGGCCCAGGGCGCGATCCTGGAGACCCAGGATCGAATCCCACATCCGGCTCCCGGTGCATGGAGCCTGCTTCTCCCTCTGCCTACGTCTCTGTCTCTCTCTCTCTCTCTGTGACTATCATAAATAAATAAAAATTTAAAAAAATATATATATGTATATAAAGATTATTCATACTATATTCCTGAGGCTGGTTTTAGACTAGTATGCTCTCTGAATAGCTGTCTAAAGAGAGGAATAGTTCAAAATATAATTTACAGGGATCCCTGGGTGGCACAGCGGTTTGGCGCCTGCCTTTGGCCCAGGGCACGATCCTGGAGACCGGAGATCGAATCCCACATCGGGCTCCCGGTGCATGGAGCCTGCTTCTCCCTCTGCCTGTGTCTCTGCCTCTCTCTCTTTCTCTCTCTCTGTGACTATCATAAATAAATAAAAATTTAAAAATATATATATAATTTACAGACTACTTATTACCATTTAAAAGACTCCATTGTCTTTTACTAATTTTACCATACAAATTTGTACAATTTTCTGATTAGAGAAAACATCTATGCTAGATATGCTAGATGTTATGATTAAAGAATCAATCAATAAATAAAAGAATCAGAGGATAGGAGATCCAGCAGGTAAATCAGAAAGGAAGGAACATCTTTAAGGTTTTGTTACGCTTGCAAAAATGTTAATCAGAACTAAAGATTTATCTAAGTCTGATACAGAAAGAGAAGTTACCCAAAGAAATTTTTTAAAAAGGTGATTAAATACCTAATGATCTTGATGAGCTCACTCATGTTGACATGATCAGGTACGAGGAATTTGGTTTTGTCCAAAACAGGAAGTTGCTTCTCACCCTTGTACCGTTCTATTATCACCTAGAAAAGTAACCAAGAAAGATTTTAATAACCATTAATAGTGAAGAAGAGTTGAAATACTTATGTTATAACTAGGACATACCAAAATGGGGTTTGAAATAGAGCACATGTGTTGGTTTCCCCACAGATCTCCTATTAAGAGTGATCATTTATTAGCTTAGACTCTATCCCATACAGAATCTAGTACACAAGACAAAGTGACTGCCTCCAAGGGGGTGAGCAGGGTGGTGAAAGTAGTTTGCTTTTTGTTGAAGATACACTCATTAGTCAGAAAAATAAAAGCAGAGGCTAGGTACCAGCTTATAGTGTAAAGCTCTGAATCTACATCAATTGCAATACCATTTCCTCTGAAATGTGTTAGATCTTAATTATGGTAATACACTGAATTTTTTTTTTTTCATGCTAGACTGGTTTCTCTACTTGACATGGAAAAAGTCCACGAAAAGACAATGTCAGCTAGTTCTGGAGACAAATTTAATGCAGAAAGACTTGAAGATTGTTTTATTTTGACAATATACTCCTGGTAGTTCAGTAATGAGTTTTAAGAGCTAAGAAACTTGCACTATGCAGGGAACAAAAACAGTTCATAGTTCCACATCATGTATGGAAATAGATCTGTTAGCCCCTTGCCATACTTCCTTTCCATAGAAGAAAAACAATTTTTCCCCTAGTTCTAAGCCACAGCAAAAGCTTGCCACACAGGGTTTACTGGGCCTCCCTGTCACCTTCTGCGTACCAGACACTCTTCTCTAGGCAAAGCAACTCCACCCTGCCACAACAATAGTAAGCTGAGACAGTAATGGCAATCTTTTCATAATATTTCTCTAGAAAAGGGGAAGATACTTGTCTGTACATTGTTCTACTATATGGGGCCACATAAGGTTCTGTGTAAAGCCAAATCAAACTGCTATTCCCTTCCTTGGTAAGATCAAGGACATTTATCCATAGTGTATGTTTAGAACATGGCATTCACAAGGGAGAATCAATAGACAGACTACTTTTGCCTGATTCTGACTAACAACAGAGATCAGAGGCAATACAGAAATCTTAAATTCCTGGTCCAGGACAAGGCAGAAAGCAGTAAGAATGAGAAGAAAATCTCCCATCAATAAGGAGGACATAGCAGCAGCTTGGGGATGCAGACAGCATGGCCTTGGGCACCTCCTGCTCTCAGGTGCCCCTGACTCCCCAGTGCTGGTAATTTCCCTGAAAGCAATCCACTACAAATTACTGGTTGACTTTTCAGTTATTTCCTCTTTTTCCTGTACTTTTCTCATTTGGGAAAGACAACACTTAAGTCATGAGTAAGGCATTTGGCTACACCTGAAAAGTGCCTTCCTGAGTGTTGCATTTAGACACCAGTGCTATGGACGGAAGTGCAGGAGAAAAGCTGTTCTTGGGAAGTGGAGAGCAAGCAAGCTGCCTGTGCCTTCTCAGTCCATCCATCCTATTCCCATCAAGAAGTGCCTGTGAGAGTATTTCTCAAACTTATTCAGGGGTTACAAGCCCATATGACAAAGTACAAGTTTTCTGCAAAAACCCTTAGAACTACTAGCAGAAAAGAGGACTGCTAATGTACACAGATATTCATGTTTCAAAAGGAGGCTGCAGAACAAATCCTGGCAGACGGCTCAACTATTCATTTCTAACAGCTAGCACCAAAAAGTAAAGAAAACCTTAAAATTAAGAGAATTCTCTAGGCCATATGTTGACCTCAAATATAAGGAAAGACTAAAATTTTTAATAGTCCAAGGAAAAGAGACTATCTTTTACTGTAGAATCCTACAGTTGGAAACTGCTGGGCAGACCCATCTTCTCTTTTCTGTGTACCTTACAGACCCAACCCCCTGGACCATTTCTCTCCTTTGACCTTAGTTTAGTCTGAGACGGCAGCTCAGAAAGCCAAGAATGAAAACTTCTACCAAATTTTTAACAGTGAAGTGTCTTTCTAAGTGGTCTGTAGCATTCATAGGAGGTAACAACCACATATGCAAAACTAGGCAAATCTTTCCAACTATTACATGGAATGGGATTCTCTTCCCATTTTACAGATAAGGATGTGGCAAGTCCCTTTCAGAACTTTAGTAACTAGCTCAACATCACTTAGTAACTTTAAGCCTAAGGCTTGAACTCAGCCTCTACCTGAAACCACAAGTTCCTCTTAACCACATTTCTCTACAACTGGTACCTCAGCAGAAAACTCTTTAGGGTCTGCCAGCAAAGGATTTGGGGTAGAGGGTGTTACTGCCTGGGCACAGCAAAAAGCATCTGAAGTACCTACATATGACAAGAAAGAGCAGTGTCTCCTCTAACTCTTGTAAAGAAGCCAAATACAACAGACTTCTCTGGGGCATCAAAAGATGGCCTAGAATGTACAGTTACACTTAAATCCTGAGAGCTACTGGGACGCCTGGGTGGCTTAGTGGTTGAGTGTCTGCTTTGGCTCAGAGAGTGATCCCAGAATTGAGTCCCACATTGGGCTCCCCAGAGGGAGCCTGCTTCTCCCTCCTATGTCTCTGCCTGTCTCTCATGAATAAATGAATAAAATCTTAAAAAAAAAAAAATCTTGAGAGCTACTGATCTTCCTACTGCAGGATTCCTTCAACAGAGTGGATATTTCCTTCCATTGATAAAATGCTAACAGTTCTAGCCCCTCTATTCTTTCCCCCCAAAATAGATTTGACTTGTGAAGTGTGTAACATTAAGGCAGAAAACTCATTCAGGAGGAAACAGAATGTGATTAGATGCAAGAACTGTATATTAAGATATCTCAATTCTAGGTCGTGAAATTGACACTGGAGATTACTTTCTGAGGACCTCTGTAGAAACACCTGTCACACAGTTACACATAGCAGCACTGTATTAAAATACTTAAGCAGTGCTCTCTTCTGTATACATTAATAATGTTATTAATATTAATAATAATAAAACACAGGTGCTGGAGACTACCTACTGGGATTTTGGTAGGATGCTGCTCTCGGATAAGTCGGACATCTTCTACTCTTTGTTCTGCAACGAAAGGAAGAGACAGGCATTCATTATTAAGGGCCAAAATGTAGCTTCTTTCCTGCACTTTTACTGGTGGTTTCCATATTTAAATTCACCTATCCCTAGCTTTGGTGAGCAGAGCAGTAAGGACATGTTCCCGAGAACTGAGAGGAAGCACACAGTGGCACTTCATATCTGGCACAAGTTGATATATAAGGCCAAATGCAACTTCCATGTAAACCAACATGTAATTACATGGCTCTAGCAGGTGTTACGACATATGACCAAGAGTACAGAATTCCTAGTTTCAAGAATTTGAGACCCCAGGCTTGCAGTCAAATATAATCAGCAGATTACCTGCATGGCATTACCAATCTTTTCTCCAAGGACTCCCACTATGTGTCAATTTTCCAAAACTTCAGTTGATACAGGAATCTGTTAAACCATAGGCTCTTCAATGTGATTTTCTTATTACTTCCTGCTTTTCAATGACACATTGGTTAAGAGAAAACACCCAAAAGAACGCCCTATTTGACTTTCAGTTTTTCTCAATGCCCACCACTGCCCAACATCACTAGACAAAATTTTAAAGCACTAAGTCTACTGTTGAATACTTTTTTTTTGAGAATATCTCTATTCTCTCCCTTAATATAATCATACATGAATAATCAATGTCATGGACTTCCTGAGAAGTCCTGGTGGCTTCAGAAAAAAAAAGATGTAGGGACACCTGGGTGTCTCAGTAGCTGAGTGTCTGCTTTTCACTCAGGGCATAATCCCGGGGTCGGGAGATCAAGTCCTGCATCGGGCTCCCTGTAGGGAGCCTGATTCTCCCTCTGCCTATGTCTCCGCCTGTGTCTCTCATAAATAAAATTTTTAAAAAGATGCTTTGATCTACATATATTCTACCATTGCCAATTTTTTTGGATTAAAAAAAACATTTGGTATCATTCTTCATAAAAATGACTGAACATTCTCATGTTCAAATACAAACATGTAAGTAAGTGCTGGGACACCTGGGTGGCTCAGCGGTTGGGCGTCTGCCTTTGGCTCAGGTCATGATCCTGGTCTGGGATTGAGTCCCACATCGGGCTCCCTGCGAGAAGCCTGCTTCTGCCTGTGCCTCTCATGAATGAATAAATAAAATCTTTAAAAAAAAAAAACAAAAACAGGGCAGCCTGGGCAGCTCAGTGGTTTAGCACCGCCTTCAGTCCAGGGCCTGATCCCAGGGACCCAGGATCGAGTCCCACGTCAGGCTCTCTGCATGGAGCCTGCTTCTCCCTCTGCCTGTGTCTCTCATGAATAAATAAATAAAATCTTAAAAAAAAAAAGTAAATTCTATTTTCCCATCCAACATATCTAAATCAGCTTCTAAGATAAAATTACTACATATAAACATATCTGCCATAGACTAAGAAGATGGCAAACACAGGGATTCCTACCAGCGTGCATTCCTATCAGTATATGAGAATAAAGATTAATTTAGTTACCGTTAGTAAGCATAACCTAGTGGTTCCCAATCTATAATATAGTGATTAATAACAAGAAATATGTAGCTGGTCCTGTCAGAGCTTCCAAAACACTTAGAATTTTCTAAATGATTAAGAGTGGTATTGATAAGGGCTATCTCTTGTTATTCAAACAAACCCCAATCAACCATACAAGTTTATGTTAATGTTGTAACTTTTAGAAAGCTCCTAAGGATGGGGAACTGGTGGCCAGGGGGGAAAACAACAGTGATTTGGGGTTTGAAATGTTCAGACCCACCCCAACCACCAGGGAGGGGAAAGAGGCTTGAAGGATGAACTAATCACCAAAGGCCAATGATTTAACCAGTTATGCCCATGTAATGAAATCTCCATCAAAAGGATGGGGCTTAGGGCAGCCCTGGTGGCGCAGCGGTTTAGCGCCGCCTACGGCCCAGTGCGTGATCCTGGAGACCCTGGATCAAGTCCCACGTTGGGCTCTCTGCATGGAGCCTGCTTTTCCCTCTGCCTGTGTCTCTGCTACTCTCTCTCTCTCTCCGCATCTCTATGAATAAATAAATAAAAATCTTAAAAAAAAAAAAAAAGGATGGGGCTCTGGGACGCCTGGGTGGCTCAGTGGTTGAGGGTCTGCCTCAGGTCATGATCCCAGGGTTCTGGGATTGAGTCCTGCACTGGGCTCCCCACAGGAAGCCTGCTTCTCCCTCTGCCTATGTTTCTGCCTGTCTCATAAATAAGTAAAATCTTAAAAAAAAAAAAATTTATAAAAAGGATGGGGCTCAGGTGCTGATTCCAGGTGCTGGGAGAGTAGCACACACCGAACTCCACAGCAACAGAAGCTCCTGTGCTCAGGACTCTTCTAACCTTACCCTATGTACTTTTCACCAAGCTGTTCATCTGTATGCTTTAATATCCCTTGTAATAAGCCAATAGTCTAGCAAACAAAAGTTTTCCTGTGAGCTACGCCAGCAATTCAATGAAACATAAGGGGGTCGTTATAAACCTCTGATTTATAGCCAGTCAGAAGCACAAGTAACAAGCTGCACTTGCAATTAGTGTTCGAAGTGGTGGGTGGGGAGGGGCAATATTGCGGGGCTGAACACTTAAACTGTCATATCTGAGGCTATCACCAGGTGATTTAGAATTGAGTTAAATTTTAGGACAGCTGTCAGTCTGTTGAGCATCTGGCTCTTGATCTCAGGGTCCTGAGTTGAAGCCCCACAATGCGTGTAGAGATTACTCAAAAACAACCCCACACCGTTTAAAAATTGTACAACAGCCAGCTGAATTGCTTGATGTGTGGAAAACCCAAACAGGGTCCAAAGTGAAGCAGTTGATTAGTAGAATACGGAGAGTAGAGGAAACACAGGATGAATTTTTTTTCACTTGCATCATCCTTTAAATCATTCTCTATTTCTGAGGGTGTCACTGATTCCCCTTCGATGCCTCTCTCAGGTCTAAGACCCGTCCCTATATGTCTGTCCTACCCCAGGAGAAAGTGCTCTACCATCTAGACTTAGCTATCAATCTGCTTCACAATAAAAATCTCGTGTGTCAGGGAAGATTTCAGAAATTAGAGGAAATCACAATTCACTCTATCAAATGAATTTTTTTTAAAGATTTATTTATTCATGAGAGATAGGCAGAGACACAGAGTGAGAAGCAGGCTCCTCACAGGGAGCCAGATGTGGGATGCAACCCCAGGATCACACCCTGAGTGAAAGGCAGACACTCAACCACTGAGCCACCCAGGTGTGGCTCTTTAATAATTCTTTAATATACCTGGGAATATGCTTCACACTTAAAAGCTTAACCTCAGCCCCGGTGGTGCAGCGGTTTAGCGCCGCCTGCAGGCTGGGGTGTGATCCTGGAGATCTGGGATCTGAGTCCCAGGCTGGGCTCCCCGCATGGAGCCTGCCTCTTCCTCTGCCTGTGTCTCTGCCCCTCATAAATGAATGAATGAATGAATCAATCAATCAATTAATCAATCAATCAATCTTAAAAAAAAAGAAAAAAGAAAAAGCTTCTCCTAACTGGGGTGCCCAAATGGCTCAGTTGGTTAAGAATATGACTCAATTTCTGCTCTGGTCATGATATCAAGCCCCATCTGGGGCTCTTCCCTCAGTGCAAAGTTTGCTTAAGATCCTCTTGCGGCACTTGGGTGGCTCAGTGGTTGAGCATCTGCCTTTGGCTCAGGTCGTGATCCTGGGGACCTGAATTGAGTCCACATCAGGCTCCCAGAGGGAGCCTGCTTCTCCCTCAGCCTGAGTGTCTCTCATGAATAAATAAATAAAATCTTAAAAAAAAAAAGAACCTCTCTCAAATTAAAAAAGGCAAGCTCATTCTAATAAATCTGAAAGTGGAAACATTCAGAGAGAAGGGGGAGCTTTTTTAATAAAGGAAATAGGTTTGTTCTGGTATGTGGAAAATGAAAAAAAAATATGCTTTAAATGTAAGGCTTCAAATCAGAAACTATAATTTCGATACTATAGTATCAAGTTTCTTTATCTTGATTTATCCCCAAAATATGCCCCCCTCCAAAGACAAAAAAAAATCATTATTTTTATTAAAGGTGGGAAAACAGGTATGAAGACAAGTTACTTCCTTAAGGTAAAAACAAGTAGTACCAAAGTCTCACAGGAACATCATGAGTGTCCTGGCCAGTTCTATGAACTCAGTGGTGTACCTGAGTGAGCAAATATGGTATATACCTCACTCTTTTTGAGTAGACAGTTATTTTCAGAGGATAACAGTATATTTTAACAAAAGCATTACCAACACAGATCAAAGACACGCGTGAACAACACTTTTAATCAAGTTTTTTTTTTTTAAACACTGTAATGCCCTGTTTATTCACCAAGGGCTCAGCCTTGCGCACAGAAAATGGTTAATAAACGAATTAAAGTTGTAAAATGGAAATACTCTTCCAAATGCATACCAAGATACACTTCCCAGACTCCTTCCTTTTCTCCTGTCTCTAAGAACTCATACAAGACCTACAAACATAAAAGCAGGATAGGAATCTAAGGCGTCTTATTTTTACCAACATATCATTTGCATAGTTGCTTTGAGATTCCCTGCTGCACTTAAAGTAAAACTTTATTTCACTGAGTGAAATGGAAGCATAATAAATATTGCCACTATCTATAAATCATAAATGTAATACCCAATCCATTAATGAGTAACACTGCTTCAGTTCATGGAGTGCTACCTATGTTTTGGTATAAACTGTTCTCTACAGTCTACCTATTAAGAGTAGATGGAGCTGTTTATTCTAGACCAACATATAAATTTCCCCCAAGACATGCAAACTTTTGGAATATTAATGGACAAGTTTAAACCTGCTCATGACTAAACTGCAGGAGAATAGTGTGATTCCTTGGCAATTCCAGAAGCTGAAGCGAAATTATTACATTTGAGAAGACCAAATCCAGAATTATTTGCTCAAATACAATGCTGGAAGTTCATAATATTTTCCCACATACCTGCAAAGACACACTATGCTTTTCACTAAGCACTGGCCCATCTCCTATACCGAGATGATGGCTACCTACTGGAGGCTGGGAAAATACACCGCAGAAAATAAACTGCAAGTCCAGACTCCGCCACTAGGTGGACCATGATCTCACCTCTCTGGGCCCCACCCACTTTCTTGAGTTACAAAAGGTAGAGGGTTGTTTTGGGTGAGCCCCAAGGTCCACTTCCACCCTCTCAATCCTGGCAGAAGATATCAGCAGATCTATATTCAATTTTGAATTAACCTAAACTCATTCCCTTGGAAAGAGAAAGAACTGCTCAAGCTAACTGGGTCTGTTCTTAGTTTCTATGAAGAGGTTCTCTCCTAAGAACTGATTTCCCAGGGATCCCTGGGTGGCGCAGCGGTTTGGCGCCTGCCTTTGGCCCAGGGCGCGATCCTGGAGACCCGGGATCGAATCCCATGTCGGGCTCCTGGTGCATGGAGCCTGCTTCTCCCTCTGCCTGTGTCTCTGCCTCTCTCTCTCTCTCTCTCTCTCTCTCTCCCCCCCCGTGACTATCATAAATAAACAAAAAAATTAAAAAAAAAAAAAGAACTGATTTCCCTCATTCACTGTACTACAAATCAGTGAAAATTGTCAGTGCTAGAGCAAGGAAGGAGAGTAGCCATTAACTGATACCTGATCCTCTTCTGCAATGATTATTAAAGAGATCTTTTAACAAGGGGGGGCGGGGAGGGAGAGTAAAGGTGAGATAAGGGGCAAGCCCAAAACTGGTATATTTAACATGTACTTACAGGGGGGGAAATGGGGCATTCTTGGCTAACCCCATTTACCCACAGGGCCAAAGATTCCAGGTGAATTCCTTCTAATTCATTAAAATACGTTAATCTCACTTTTCCTACTCTTACCACCTACTCTGAGGTTTTTCTAGAATAACTAAAAATAAGCAAAAGAAAAGTAACTAGTTTCAGTCATAAGAAAATAAGCATCTTTCCCACACAGATGTCCGCAGTTAACTTTTATTGTTTAAGTAAGCCCTAAATCTAACATGGGACTTGAACTCACGACTCTGAGATCAAGAGTCACACGCTCCATCCACTGAGCCAGCCATGCAACCCCCAGCTAACTTTAAAATGCATAAATTAAAAAAATAATAATAAAATGCATGAGTTAGTGAGGACTGAAGCCAGATACAAGAGGAAATCTGATTCAGATGCTGTTCTCAGGGCTGCATAAAAGCTAAACAATATTGAGAGTTCACAGAGGTCATTAAAGAGAAAATTTCCAACAAAAATGCACGTCCAAGTCTGCTAACAAACCCTCAAGAGACTGAAACGGTATGCTTGGCAGCTTCTCAGGACCAAGCAATCAAATAATTATCAGTAACGTGATCTATGACACCATTTAGAAGCTGTGTGAACGCTGGGCTCTTTGTGGACTTCAGGCAACTAAACAAAAGGAGTGCACAGTGTTGCTGCCTTAGACCCTAAAGAAGATGACCCTGGGAACTCCCCTGTGCTGCTATAAACACCCCCACCAACACAGTGTGGTGTCCACGTTGCTAGTGCACAACTTTCTTGCTTCAACGGAGCACCAGTCACTGCCTTGTCCTCATTTTTGTGGAGGCGTAAATATTGATGGTTACTTTCAGTTTCACCAAATGCCAGGGAACCCAAGCTGGGTTTCTAAGCCTGAACTGGGAAAAAGAACTGATTTACCGCTGGGGAAAAGTATGGATATAACAAACCAAAAAGAAAAGCCACCGGACCCTAGTTCTGCTGCAAAAAGGATCCAGAGGATTCGCCACACCAGGTCTACACTGGAGGGTGCAGGGATACGTACAATGCTCCACCTCCAGGGCTCACCAGTGTGCACACTCCTCCTCAGGCAAGGTAGGGACATTTGTAAGCGACCACGTGTGACCAGCGCGACTTACCTGGAGATGATTCACTCGCGTACTAGTGTCATTACTTCAAAGTACCTGTCACCGCCTGGCCTCCTGGCCAGCCTTCCCCAAGGCACCCTTACCGAATCTGCACCTCCAGAGGGACAGACCCCCAGGATTGCAGGGCTGACCCGACCGCCCATGACCGCGGGAGACCAAAAGGTGATTCAGCAGCTCCCTTGCGGCGCCCCCTGGATGGACGGCCGCCCTCGACGGCGACCCGGCCGGGGCCAGGGCGGGGATGGGGGACCTTCGGGGGTCCGACAGAGCTCAGGTCCCGACCCCCCTAGGCAGATCGCCGCCGTCTGCCGCAACCCCGCCCAGAGGAGGAAGGGGTGCTCCGTGGGTCCCCCACCCCCACGTTGGCCGCGGCCCAGAGCGGACCGGCGGACGGATGGACGGACAGACGCCCGCGACCCGGCCAAGGGGGGTGGGGGCTCCCCGGGTCCCACCCTGCTTAGGACCCGGGCCCCCAACCCCAGACCCCGACGCCCTCAGCCCTCCTGGGTCCCACCCCGCTCAGGCCCCGAATCCCGACCCCCGAGCGGGCGGGCGTATAGCCGCCCTCGCCCGCGACCCGGGGCGGGGCGCGGGGAGGCGGAAGGGGCTCCCCGGGTCCGACCGTGCTCAGGCCCCGGCCTCCCAGCCCCACGTCGGCCCCCGAACCCCGACCCCGAGCGGACGGACGGCCGCCCTCGCCCGAGACCCGGCCCGGGGTAGGGTAGGGTGCGGGGGGGGGGGGGGCGGAAGGGGCTCCCAGGGTCCGACCGCGCTCAGGCCCCGGCGCCCTCAGGCCACCCCCGCCCCCAAACGCCGTCGGTCCCCGGCCCCTGGGCCCCCCTCAGCCTCCTCGGCCCCCCCTCAGCCTCTCGGCCCCCTCAGCCTCCTCAGCCCCACCTCGGCCCCCTCAGCCCCCCCCTCGGCCCCCCCCTCAGCCCCTCTCGGCCCCCTCAGCCCCTCTCGACCCCCCCTCAGCCCCTCTCGACCCCCCCTCAGCCCCCCCTCAGCCCCCCCCTCAGCCCCTCTCGACCCCCTCGGCCCCCTCAGCCCCCCCCCAGCCCCTCTCGGCCCCCTCAGCCCCCCCTCAGCCCCTCTCGGCCCCCTCAGCCCCTCTCGACCCCCCCTCAGCCCCCCCTCAGCCCCCCCCTCAGCCCCTCTCGACCCCCTCGGCCCCCTCAGCCCCCCCCCAGCCCCTCTCGGCCCCCTCAGCCCCTCTCGGCCCCCTCAGCTCCCTCGGCCCCCTCAGCCCCCCCTCAGCCCCTCTCGGCCCCCTCAGCCCCTCTCGGCCCCCCTCAGCCCCCCCTCGGCCCCCCACCCGGCCGCCGCGGACCCCAACGGCCCCGGGTGCCCGCCTCCGCCCCTCCTAGGTCCCACCCCGCGAGCCCCACTTCAGCCCCCGTTCCCCCGCAGCCCGCCGTCGGCCCGTGCCCCGGCCGTCACCGACCCTGGCGGCCCCGGGTCCGCGCCTCAGCCCTTCCGCCAGCCCGCGCCCCCTCCCCCCACCCGCCGCGGCACCCACCGAAGGTGCGACGCTGCTTGAAGGTCTTCTCCGACGGCATGGCGCGGGAGGCGAGACGGAGGCGGCGAGGCGGAGGGTCCTGGCTGCTACAAGTGGTGGCGGCGGTGGCGGCGGCGGCGGCTGCGGAGGCTCCGACTGTGGCGACAGCGACTTCCCTTGTGTCTCTTCAACCCGCAGCCGCGTCAGGTGACTGGCGCGGCGTCCTGGGGGGGCGGGGCCAAGGCCGGCGGCCGCCGCCGCCATGGTGGGCGTGGCGGAAGCGGGGTTGCGCGCGTGCGCAGCGGAGAGCCCGCGATGCGCAGGCGCGCGGGCCGGAGGAAGCGCGCGTCCGGGCGGGGAAGACCCCAGGCGTAAGCCTCTCGAGCCCAAATCCCGCGTGGCCCAGCGGCTCCCGCGGACCGCGCGTCACTTGTGTGTCGCCTCCGTGAGCCCACGGCCGAGAAAGCTCCGCTCCGGAAGCACATTCCTTCCGTGCTCCCGCCACAGCGCCGCGGGCCTGGGGGCTGCCGGTTGCTCATCCAGATAGGGGGGCACCTGTCGCTGCTGTGTTTAGGGACCTGCGCCCTTGCGCCCGCGGCGGCCACCTGCTTACCCCCCGCGGGCTTCCCGCCGCTGACCGTCCTCCTCGGAACGCGCAGGTGCGCCGCATAGATGGAGAGACGCCTGCAGACTGCAGCCGGCCGGTTCGCCGTGCCCGCCCGTGCGTGGACGCGCACCTGGGGGCCGCGTGGCCGCCCCGCGCTGAGCTGCCGCGGAATGCCTGACGCCCTGGAACCCGCCCGAGGTCCGGCGCCGTAGCCTTTCTTATATGGTGGTTTGATAGAGTCCTCGGATTGTGCTCTATACGTTATTATGCAGACATACGAGACATACTAAGATATATTCCTCGGTGGGTTTTTTTGTAGCTGGGATTTCTTTACAGAGAAGCCAAACATGTTGCAGCTCCTTGTATAGTTATTTCCCAAGACCCGAACAATGACATTAGCTCCATTCTGTTCTACTGTTTACTAGACAACGGTGCATTTGTCCACGTGTCACTCTCTGTCAGGTGTTTCCCCCTTTTTGTTAGTTCTTTACCTTGAAAACCCTGAGTTAAACAGCATTTACGCATTCTCTCTGGTTTCCGAAGTTCCAAAGGAAGGCTTCAGACTACAAGTGTACTTACTATCCTCATTGCTCTGTATTTATTCTGTGAAAATTGGAAAAAAAAAATTCAGTGTTTATTTTATCTACCTTCTGCCAAACAAAATGATCTGGATTGAAGTCTTAAAGAGAGTGTCGGGGCATCTGGGTGGTTGAGTCAGTTGGCCTGTAACTGTTGATTTTGGCTCAGATCAGATCCCCTGGTTGTGCAATCCAGTGTCAGGCTCAGTGGGGAGTCTGCTTGAGATTCTCCGATTCTATCTCTGACTGCCCCTCCTCCATTTCTCTCAAATAAATCAATAAACATTAAAAAAAAAAGTGTGTACTGTATGCTGCTTTTTTTTTTCTGGATTTCTTTTGTATATTAAGTATTGACTGGTGAGCTGCTTTCTTGGCTTAATTGCTATTTTGTAAGAAATGGACTTTTCGTTCTCTTGTTGGACAACTGTTCCAAATGCAAGAGAGGAAGAAAATCAATTATCTGGCCTATGGAGGTTGGGGGAGGGGAAGGAGAGTTTCATATTTCCCCAGTCCCTTAGGCATCCATAAAGCTTTACCAAATTACCCCAGGCCTTGAGTTTACAGCGACGGAGGGACAGGCTTCAAGGGCTGTGCTAGTGATGGGACAGGATCACTCTGTGATTTTCAAGTACTGAGGTTCACATTTACAGTGACTGCTAAAGTCTTCTCCTAACTTTGAATTCCTACTAGCATCTAAAACCACATCTCCCTACATGTTTCTCAGAAAACTGTGGACATGTCAGGGTGTCTCATAAACAAGGGCGTGGGCATGTAAGAGTGTCTCAATCTCCATATAGGAATAGCATATTCATAATATATAAATAATATCTAAAATGTATTGATTCATATTAACATACAGATAAAGAAGTAACTTAGTGCAACATTTGAAAACAAGCATGCGGGGATCCCTGGGTGGCTCAGCGGCTGAGCATCTGCCTTCGGCTCAGGGCGTGACTCTGGGGTCCCAGGATCCAGTCCCGTGTCGGGCTCCCTGCATGGAGCCTGCTTCTCCCTCTGCCTGTGTCTCTGCCTCTCTCTCTCAGGCTGTGTCTCTCATGAATAAATAAATAAAATATTTTAAAAAGAAATGAAAACAAACGTTTGAGTACATATGAAAAATTTCATGTGCCCTCAGACTGCAGTATAATAGAAGTCTGATGTGAACAATTTTCAGAGTGGTAAATAAATATTACTCAAGAATTATTTTAAGCCAGTTAATATAAGCATAGTATGACTTATTTTAAAATAAATAACATTGGGATCCCTGGGTGGCGCAGCGGTTTGGCGCCTGCCTTTGGCCCAGGGCGCGATCCTGGAGACCCGGGATCGAATCCCACATCGGGCTCCCGGTGCATGGAGCCTGCTTCTCCCTCTGCCTATGTCTCTGCCCCTCTCTCTCTCTCTGTGTGTGTGTGACTATCATAAATAAATTTTAAAAAAAATAAAATAAATAACATAAATATTACTGTTCCTTAAAATAACCCATATAAAGTAGAAAAACAAGACACATCTTTCATTCAAATTTGTTTTCTCTAGAAATTTCATGATGCCTTTAAGCTACTACTATTCTCAAAAGCCAGATGGTGTCAGTTTTATATAACTCGACCCTCTTCCCTTTTCCATAATATGAAATGACCATAATTGTGGAGAAAATAAGGTAACCGTTAAAAATTGAATGTGATGCCTCCAGCATTAGTGATGCAACATGGCTGTAAACCATGCTGCCTAGCTATTTCTAAGAATCTGTTAAATGTGGCATGGAACATCAACCTGCAGTGCAGGACACATTATTTTTGACACACACAACATGGAGGACAAGTCACACCAAGAAGTTGTTCAGCCCCACAGGCCTGCCTGACCCTGCCCGCCTCTCCTTTTTCTGATTGGAAGAGATATCTGAGGCTCGAGGGTGTCTGGGCAACTATTGGCCTGCTCTCCTATCATTCCTGTGTCATCTCTCTGCTCTTTAGAACAAGTAAACAAACAAGTGTTGCTCAAGAGGACCTGCAGGAGCTATTCTCAGAAAGGATTTAGTCAGGAGGATTTTGAAGTCGACACTCAATAGAGTGCAGTGTTTAGAAGTGTCTTCACTGGCTCCTCGGAGTCACTATCAGCAGCGGGGACAGGCACCGTTCTGCAGTGCTTCCTCTCCCCGTGAAGCTGTCTGATGAACAACTTTAGAAATCTGCAAGGGAGTGCATGCAGGAAAGCCATCACAAATCACAATCTAACATTATTTCTGAAATGAGCATGAATCGCTGACTCAGCATTCCACAGGTTTTTCTGTTTAATTCTAAGCAAATTCTCAAGGATTGCTGTTTTTCCAACTTTTGCCCTTATGTGGGACTATTAAGGGAGGGATCTCTTGAGACACTACAGGCCCTCTTGTTTGGCCTTTGGATATTTTCCTTTCATTCCATTGCCTTGGCTGTTTCTTCTGAGCAGTGGATAAAGATGCCACTTTTTACTTCTGGGTTGTGAGAACCAGCCTGGGTAAAGTTAATACAGTTTAGTCAGGTCCAAGAAATACTAGTTTCTATGACTTCTGTGGTAACAAATTGAGAAATATCCTGCCCTATAATCCGCTCATCTCCTTAGATGCTATCAGTTCTCCATAACAAAGAGTTCATTATTATAGTCTCATCTAGCGTTAAAACAAATGATCTCTTTTATCTAGTTTTTTTTTTCTCATTTTGCTATGACCGCAACCTCCTTAGTGTTCTCTATGGGATACATTCTGTACAAGGGACTATAACAGTGTTCAAGATACACCAAGCTTTGGGGTTCCATGTGTAATAGTTATCTGCTACCCTCAACTTTTCCCCTTGAGTTCCTTCCTGCCAAGAGGGGTTACCCAAGTTCCCATAGCTACATATTTCTTTCTATTCTGGTTAGCACTAATTTGATTCTTCTAGATCTTGGGGTGGCTTATCACACACAGCCTTCTGTTAGTCCTGCTCTCAAGGATATACAGATATGGATAGGTCTTCATAACTGTATAGGTGCACAATCCAAACTATAAACACAATAGTTTAACCATTTGGGGCACCTGGGTGGCTCCATCGGTTTAAGTGTCTGCCTTCAGCTCAGGTTGTGATCCTGAACCCAGGGTCCTGGGATTGAGCCCTGAGTCTGGCTCCCTGCTCACCTGGGGAGCCTGCTTCTCCCTCTCCCTCTGCCCTTCCCCCTGCTTGTGTGCACTTTCTGTCTCTCTTGTTACTAAATAAAATAAAAAAGAATACTTTGACCATTCTGATGGAAATTTAACATTATTTTGTATATGACAACAACTCTAAGCTCCTCTGGGAGAAAACTGCCTACTGAAGGGTAGAAAGATTAAAAACAAAACTAAACTAAAATGTAACAGTGGCAGATTATCCTTTAGAACGAACCTATGGATTGAAGCAGAACACGGCACATAGGATAATCTGGCATTCTGCAAAAGTTTATCACATTAGTTCATGCATTTCTGCTTAGAAATACCAGCTTGTACTAAAATGCTGATCCACCAGGCTTCTCTAAATCTCTTTGGTTCATGTTTCTCACTTTTACTCTTTTAGCTACTTTTTTTTTCATTCAACATTTAATAACCATTCATTGACTGCAAGATGCGTGTTAGCACATATATATTTTTAAAGATTTTATTTATTTATTCATGAGAGACACAGAGAGAGAGAGGCAGACACACAGGCAGAGGGAGAAGTAGGCTCCATGCAGGGAGCCCAATGTGGGACTGGATCCTGGAACTCCAGGATCACGCCCTGAGCTGAAGGCAGATGCTCAATCGCTGAGCCACCAGGCATCCCATGTGTTAGAATATCTATCACACGACAAGAGATACATCTAGGGAGACTGGTACAAAAGGAAACAAGTGTTTGTCATAAAATGATGGTGCTGTAGAAAAAAGGGAACATCCTTCCTAGGAGATCCCATCTGGGGACACAGAAGAAGGAGGCTGGCTCTTTAAGGGCACAGAGTAAGGAGTTGGGTCTTTCTGACAGAGAAGATTGCTTGAGCAGTCAGAGATGTGACTAAGCTGGTGACCTCTGGATTATCAGATGGCTCCCCCGGAGAGATGGGTGTGGGGACAGGCCCAGAGGCCAGACTGGGAAATCCTGTGTGACGTGATAAGGAGTCACTGGAGCCATTAAATACCTTTAAATAGGTGAGTGCCACAAGACTGCTTCTGCTTATGTGTTACTATTTGCAAGAAGAGAGTTGTGATACCAGCGTGGAGGCTGGACTGGAAAGCCGACTGACTAGGTGCAGAAAGATCAGTTAGGTGTTGTTTTCAGCTGTGTGGACCTGAGTGGGTCAAGATTTAATCTAAGACACACTGTATTGTTATTTTTGTTAGGAGTTGCGCTTCCCTGATTACTGGATTCCCTTTTTCCTGCCTTGAGATCTCCCTACAGAGGCAGTAGTGAGTAGTAGTGAGGAATTTGTGGGAACTGGCAGGGTCATTAATTTTCTTTTTAGTAAGACCTCCATGCTCCCCTCAAACACTGGGCTAGATACTTCCCTTTAGACTCTGGGCAATTCCTCCTGCACTTTAGGGCTTTGTTGTAGAGCGGTTCCCTGACTCTCTGGAAACAACTAATAACTACAGTTTCTTGTTGTTGTGAGCTATTTAAGGTAAGGTACTGTCACAAGCTGGCTTTACATATACTCTCCGCCTTCTAGAACACACATGCCCTGGGGCACAGTAAACAAGGTAACTAAGGCAGAACCCCAAGGCTTGGTATGGACAACGCCAGAGTTGGTGCTTTGATTTATCAGATAGCATGATCTCCCCTTTCATTGCAATAAGAGTAGAATTGAGTGAATGTCAGATTTTAGATAAAAGGAAGGGGTTTGATAGGCATACCTCAGGGTTCTATCTGGCTTAGGTGGTTAGTGGTTCCAAGCGCTAGAGAAGTTTGCAGCGCTCTGCTGGCCACCTAATCAGATTTAGGCGGGCCTGGGGGCATCCTGGGGTGGTGTTAGGGCCGTGGTGGTGGTGTTCTTGGGACATCTCTAGAGGAATGCTAGGGGCTTGGGAGAGGGCTTCTGGGGGGGTGTCGTTGGTACTATTTTGGGTGGGAACCTAGGGCCATCTTGGAGGGTTCTGGGGGGTGGGAACTCCAGGGGAATCCTCAGTCCACACCGAGGAGTTCTGGGGGAGACCTCTGTGGGGTCCTTGGGCTGTTCTGGGGAGGCTCTCGGGGAGGCGGAACTTCCGGGGGGGCGTTCCTTGGACTGTCCTGCGGGAGTACTTGGGGGACAACCTCTGGGGTCCCTTGGGAGTGTTATGGGGGGACAACCTGCGGGGTCCTCGGGGGTCCTCGCAGCGTCCCAGAGCGCCGCGGCCCGGGTTAGCGCGGCCCACGCTCGGGAGGTGGACAGTCGGGCCCTCGCGCACGCCCTGGGTCGGGAAGGGGCCCGCGCGGCAGGCGTGGCCGAGGGCGCAGGGGGCGTGGCCGAGGGCGCAGGGGGCGTGGCCCGCGCTCCCCGCCCCGCTCCGGGGGCGGGGCCGGGCTCCGGGGCGGCGCGTGCGCAGAGGCGGCGGCGGCGCGGCTGGTCCCCTGCGCCGGCATGGCGGTGTGCGCTCGGCTCTGCGGTGTGGGCCCGTCGCGGGGATGCCGGCGCCGCCAGCAGCGCCGGGGCCCGGCCGAGACCGCGGCAGCCGACAGCGAGCCGGACACGGACCCCGAGGAGGAGCGCATCGAGGCGGGCGGGGCGCTGTCCGGGGCGCCGGGCGGCCGGGGCGCCGGCCCCCCTCCGCCCCCGCGCTGCTCGCTCCTGGAGCTGCCGCCGGAGCTGCTGGTGGAGATCTTCGCGTCGCTGCCCGGCACCGACCTGCCCAGCCTGGCCCAAGTGTGCACCAAGTTCCGGCGCATCCTGCACACCGACACCATCTGGAGGCGGCGCTGCCGCGAGGGTGAGCGCGCGGGCTGGGGGCGGTTGGCGGGGGTCCGGGCGCGGGGGCGCGGCGACTCCGGGGCGCGACTCCGGGAGAGGCGGAGTCCCCGCGGCGCCGCGCTCTGCGGGCCCTGGGAGCCGGCCTGGCGGGGGCCCTGGGAGCCGGCCTGGCGGGGGGCGCTTACCCTGGGGCTGCGGCGGGGTTGGGCCGGGGCGGACGCCGACGCGGGTGGGCATCCTGGCGGGTCCCAGGCCTCGGGGGCGTAGCCGGGGACGGCCGACGGGGGAGGCTGGACGGTTGGGGGGGGCAGTCGGAGCCCAGGCGCGGGCGGGGGTCCCCTGAGGGCGGGCTTGTGCAGGGGCAGTTGGAGCAGGGCAGTGCCGACAGGGCTTGACTTCCCTCGGAGGGACGGTGCCGAATAGTTTTGTAGCAGTTCCCAGGAGGAAAGGTTTACTTAATCCCGGGTTCAGGGCTCTCTCCGTGTGAACGTTGCCTGATCCCAGGTGTTCCGTGAGGTCTCCTATTTTGGCAAAAAGGACAGATGGGAAACAGATCCAAACAATGCAGAACAGCAGCGGCAGGAAAGTACAAAAATCATCAGAGACCCTTGCAGTCAAAGATAACCCACTCTCAAGATTTTGGGAAACGTCTCGATATGCACACGTAGACTCCCGGACACAGGTTTACTTGGACCGGATCATACCATGTAGACCGCCCTCCACACGGTGTAGTATAAGCCAGCTTGGTGGGGTTCTGCTGCATTCGTAGGCCACCTGACCACTTAGTCCCTTACTGATTGACCTTAGAGTTTGCAGCTTTTTCTTGTCTTAAACAGTGCTGTCAAGGCTGCCTTTGTGCAGTCTTGTAGAAATTTGTGGTGTCTACTTGTGCCTTCTAGGACTCCTGAGGTTATCCTCCTAGGGTGCGCTTCCTGCCGGAGCAGGGTTGTTGTTAGTAGAGTATGCACACCGATAATAGCTCAGAGATACCCATTACCCAGCTGTTGGAATTTGCATCCCCAGAGGGGGTACATGAGAAGGCCTCTTCCCCCACGTCCTCCTCAGCAAGTGGATCAGTCATCCTATCTCTGCAGTGAAGCTCAGTGTTCAAGAGTCCAGAGTGTCAGTCCACAGGCCAGGCTCCGTTTAGTGCTTTGAAATCCTGGAATTGCTGCTTTACCTTCCCAACTATTTCTGGGAAGTGCTACTCTTGTAGGTTCACCTTGGGGGTTAAATAAGATCATGCAGGTTATGTGCTCATCCCCTGAATTGTCATGTCCTATCGTGAGGCTTCTTGGCCATTTTATTTAATCTCTTGTGATTCTTTATTTGTATGTCTCTACGAGAGTTTATTTTTATCTTACAAATTTGTAAGAACTCTGAGTATTAGCAGTATTAACCTTTTTGTCATATATGTAGCAAGTGCATTTCTTTTGCCATTTTAAAACAGAGGTAAAGAGGGCAGTCCGGGTGGCTCGGCTGCCGCCTTCAGCCCAGGATGTGACCCTGGAGACCCAGGATCGAGTCCCATGTCAGGTTCCCTGCATGGAACCTGCTTCTCCCTCTGCTGGTGTCTCTGCCTCTCTGTGTGTGTCTCTTATGAATAAATAGATAAAATCTTAAAAAAAATAAAATAGAGGCAAAGAAAGTTCCACTTTCTCTGTGAACTCTACCTTTTCATTTGCTTTGTTTTGCCTCTTGTACACCTGTAAGACCCAGATTCGTTGCAGGTGTTCCATTGTGCTTTGAGAAGTTTTTCCATTGGTTAACCAGCCTGTGTAATGGTTTCTGGTGGGTTTGTCTCTGGGGAATTCTAACGCGTCTAGCTCAACTATAGGAACAGAATAATGAAGACATTTATGTAATCCAAAAAATCTGAAGGTATGGCATAGAATAAAACTCCCTGGGGTTAGAGGTCAGGGTGATTTCTTAGAGTTGCTAATGGAAGTACAAAAAGTCCTGATGAAGGTGTAGAAGGAAATTGGGGGACAGACAACAAGACTGCAGTCCTTTCCTGCTGGGGCACTTCTCAGTTCAGCTTTCCCCAGTCAAGAGACGATGTGACATTAGAAGTGATGGATCTTGTCCGCCAAGGCAGACATACTACGAAAATTTTAATTGTGAGAAATTTAAAAAAAAAAAAAGACAAAAGTAGTAAAAAAGACATATTCCTAGTCATCCCCAATATTCTATTTGCTCTTGATCCCTTTACCTTTTTAGTTTCTAAAAAAATTTTCAATTTTTTTATGTTTTTAAATGTTTTATTTATTTATTCATGATAAGAGAGAGAGAGAGAGAGAGGGAGAGACACAGGCAGAGGAAGAAGCAGGCTCCATGCAGGAGCCCAACGTGGGACTCGATCCTGGGTCTCCAGGATCATGCCCTGGGCTGAAGGCGGCGCTAAACCGCTGAGCCACCAGGGCTGTCCTTGTTCAGTCTTTTTAAATGCTATGTGGTGGTTCATAATTTGAAGAGACCACACTTTGTTCCTACCTTTATTTTTATTTTTATTTTCTGTTAAATACAGTGTATAGTGAACAATCTCTATGTCTGTTTGAATGCAGATAGAATACATGCAGAAGTAGTGCTTGCGGGGTGGTGGGCTGTGAGCTCTGCAGTTTTTACTGCCTGGTTATTCCGGTAGTGATTTTAGCTGCTTTCCCTCCTGATACTGGAGCATGAACAGGAAAGTCAGAAAAGGTGACATGCAAATGTTTAATATGCATCATGTTATCACAAAGCAGCTGTCATTTCTGGTCCAGCTACTCTAGGTTATTCCCTTTAATACAGTATCTGCTCAATTCTCTCTACTCTAAACGATCCATATTTATATATTTTAATTTGCATGTGCCTGATAATTAGTGAGGATGCACATTTAAAAAAATACCATTATTAGGGGTGCCTGGGTGGCTCAGTCGGTTGAGCATCTGCCTTAGGCTCAGGTCATGATCTCCAGGTCCTGAGATCGAGCCCGCGTCGGGCTCCCTGCTTAGTGGGGAGCCTGCTTCACCCTCTCCCTCTGCCTGCAGCTCCCCCCGCTTGCGTGCTCTGTCAAATAAATAAAGTCTTTTAAAAAAATAAATTAAAAATATCATTATTGGCAATTTGGATTTTTCTTCCTTGTTTATCTTTAATCTTTTGCCCACTTTCTACCCTATATTTTTTTCTACTGATTTGTGGGTTTTATTTATTTAGTCCAGATAGATTTAATATGTTGCAAGACATTTCCTTAGTAGCCTATAGTGATTTACAATTTAACCTCATTTATAATGACTTTTTTGAAAGTTACAATGTTGGTCAAATTTACATATTTTGGATCTAAGGAATGATTTTCTTTCTTTCTTTCTTTCTTTCTTTCTTTCTTTCTTTCTTTCTTTCTTTTCTTTCTTTCTTCTTTCTTTCTTCTTTCTTCTTTCTGATTTATATTTTTTTATTCATGAGAGACACAGAGAGAGGGAGAGGCAGGCTCCATGCAGGAAGCCTGATGTGGGACTTGATCCCAGGTCTCCAAGATCACCCCTGGGCTGAAGGCGGTGCTAAACCACTGAGCCACCAGGGCGGGCTGCCTTTCTTTCTTTCTTTTCTTTCTTTCTTTCTTTCTTTCTTTCTTTCTTTCTTTCTTTCTTTCTTTCTTTCTTCTTTCTTTTTTATTTTTTTTTTATTTTTATTTATGATAGTCACACACACACACAGAGAGAGAGGCAAAGACATAGGCAGAGGGAGAAGCAGGCTCCATGCACCGGGAGCCCGACGTGGGATTCGATCCCGGGTCTCCAGGATCGCGCCCTGGGCTAAAGGCAGGCGCCAAACCGCTGTGCCACCCAGGGATCCCTCTTTCTTTCTTTCTTTCTTTCTTTCTTTCTTTCTTTCTTTCTTTCTTTCTTTCTTTCTTTCATTCATTTTATTTTTTTTTTAATTTTATTAAAAGATTTTATTTATTTATTCATGAGAGAGAGAGAGAGAAAGGCAGAGACGCAGGCAGAGGGAGAAGCAGGCTCCTTGCAGGGAGCCCAATGTGGGACTTGATCCCAGGACTCTGGGATCATGAATTGAGCTGAAGACAGGATCTCAACCACTGAGCCACTGCCCCTAAGGAATGATTTTCATCCAAAGGTTATGAAGATGGTTGCTAGGTCTTCAGTTTCAGTAGTTCATTCTGGTAGCTTCAATTTCTAGCTCATCTATGTCAAAAATCGGTTGGCTGACGATCCCATATGGTATTTATAGATGTCCCTTAGGGTTGTCTCATTCTATGTATAAGAACAGTCATATATGGGGTGAGTCTGAGCTTCTTTTAGCTTCCAAGTTTCATCTTTCCTAAACTAGATTGGGTTAAGGTGAATGTTGAGAAGGCCAGTGCCCCCAAGTACCTTTAGGTAAGAACCAAAGCCCCCCCCAGCCTTGGTGAGCAGGAGGCCAAATCTCAGGCTGGTTGAGGAGGTGAGTTGTCCTAGCCTCTTAAGTGTCTTGGAACTGGAACCTCTGTGTCCCATCCAGTCCTGATGGGTATAATGGTGGCTCCAGTTTTTCGTGTCTTGGGAGGAGGAGTAAAACTAGTGAATTGCATGTTTACATATTTGCTCTCTGTCTTTTGATAATTGGATTTTCCAGAGCAAAAGACAAGCTACAAAAATGGGAGTGGGAAAGAGAATATAACACCTGTGTTTTATCGCTTCAAAGAATTTGGGACCATGATTGGCTTTTCACGGTGCAGCCAATGTATGCATGTTTAATAGCCCTTCCTAAAATGATTGGATGATTTTTCATGGGGCGAAGGTGTGTGAGGGGTAGCACTAGAAACTTAAAACGGGGTAGCTCTATTTATAATATGTTGTCAGAAGCTCACAATTTCCAGTGTCCTAGCAATAAATCAGTTATTTTTATAGAACTTTGGCCTTTGTAGCCCACTGTGTGCTGGATCTTTTGGATTAAATATTTTCCAGTGGTATATCTCTGGACAGGTGAAAGGTTGCTAGTGAGAAGCTAAGTCTGTGCTTCTGATTTTGGGGTGAGCACAGA